CTCAATCTACACCACCGTGTTGGGGGGGGGGGGGTCTTAGCTCCTATATGACGCACATCTAGTAAAAAGAGAACAATACGTTTTAGAAGGCCCTTGTACAAATCCTATGTCTGTCCCTGCCCAGTGCTGTTTTACCCTTCTTTAACAATTAGGCCCCATTCAAATGGGGCAATTTTGGATTCCTGCAGCAGGAATCCCAAACCTTGCTTTTAGATGCGGCCCCTGTAACCCATTTAAGTTAATCACCAGGAAACAGTGGCTGCATCTGTAAGCGGCACTCCGCATGTAAACGTTTGTGATATGATTACATGCAGTTTGGACTATATCACTGTCTCTGGGCGCATCTATCATGGCGATTACATGTGGACTACTGATTAGAGATGCGGCTTCTGTCATCCGGTCTTTAACTTGAACATAGGACAGGGGTTGCATGTTAAAGGGGCATTTTGGATTCCTGCCTCAGGAGTGTGAATGTAGCCTTATACTTCCTTTCTACCCTTCAAGAAACAGGTCTGTTTTTGCTCGTTTTAAACACATAATACATTAATAGAATATGTTTTGTCAGGGATTAATCTCTGAACCATCAGATAAATCATATATCTTATATTGCTATATTATAGAGTGGAAGAAATACAATGGGAATCTTTTGGGGAGAATCTGTCCTGCATTAATGAGGAGGAGCCTGGCAACAAAGAAAAAGCACTGGAGCATTATAAACGACCCAAAGGTAAGAAGAGGGAGAAATCATTTCATGTACCCACATCACATTGTTATAATACTATGTTATATACCACCCTGATCATACAGATGATAACCATCAAAAATCTAGAGATTGGAGAGTGCTGGCAGGGCTGCCATCAGGGGGGTACGGCCAGTACTGGTGCAGGGGCCCAGGCGGCTAGGGGGGCCCAGGCTCCAAGCAAGCATTTTTGTTATAGATTATTATGGACAGATGAATTAATTAGGTATTAGGTTCCGGGCCCCCCTGTGCTATTGGTACCTTCCTGATTACGTTCAGGGGCGGAGCTTTTATTCCTGGGCAGAAGCACCGAAGACCAAGGCTGGAGACTTTGCACGGACTGGTAAGTTTAAGTAGTATTAAACGCTCACACTTTTTTCACAAATGAACCCAAATCAAACAAATATACATTGCCCAGTAAAGTGTTTCTTTAAGTTTTTGCCCAAGTAATTACAGTCATCAGGTTTCTGAACAACTGGCTCCAACTCTCTTGGCTCCACTTCCCTAAACTTCCTGTCCTGTACAAGATCACAAGGGACAGAAAAGTCTCCAGCAGTTATCCATTTACTAGCTTGTAGAAGGGACAAAGGAGGAGCGGGGGTAGGAAGTCAGGGAGTGTCTTGTCTTACTGTGCCTGTGTGTTTGTGGAGACACAACTTACTAGCTCACACATGGGTGGCTTCATAGGACCCTTTAAGGAAACTGAGCCACCATAAAACAGGATATCAGGGCCAGTGCTCAGGGACCAGATGATTTTGCAGTAAACCAAAATCTTTAAACATTAAGGAGGAGCAGCATCCATTGTAAGTGATTTAATCAGCAATTCAAATTTTAAACATTTTGACTTAAATATCACTTCAAGTGGCCATGTAATGCTTAGTGAGCACTGGGAAAAGCTGACGTTAGTAATAACTCACTGATTCAAACTTAAGAATGCAGCTGATACTTTCTGATTTGATTGGTGACTGTAGAGTAGGTGCAATTCACAAATCTAAAAAACTCACACATCCACAAATCTAAAATTCACACATCCTTATATTCAAAAAAGTCACAATTATTTTTTCAGTCCAAAAATATTTGAAAATTAACCCCACATGTCTAAAAAAAGATATTTATCCTGGCGTAAAGCTTCCTGAAATGAGCCTTATGCCTTAAGAAATTCAGTTCTTGCTTGAAGCATTTCAAATGAGTTTGATAAACTGGGCTGAATACACTGAACAATAAGGACCTAGTAAACATGTGTTGCCACCTTGCCCTAAATGGGGTGTCTCCTTAAATTTATTCTGCTGGACTGTATCCAGTCTATGCTCATTTGATTGTCTGTGCTCATTTGGTTTCTCTTAAAGGAGAACTATGTGGTAAGTGTTTTTCCCCATAGTTCTCCTTCGGGTAACGGGAGGACACAAACTAGCGTCCTCCCGTTACTCTAAGCTCAGTATACCGCGAGCTACAGCTCGCGGTATACTGAGACGCCGCAGCCGGATCCCGACTTAGAGGCCGGGATCCGCCCAGCTGCATGAGTGACAGCTGACTCTGCCTATCTAGAGGCAGAGCCAGCTGTACCCGCCCCCTCCCCCGTCCGTTCCGCCAGTCAGCGATGGCAGATCGGAGCGGGGAGAGGGGAATCCAGCCCCTCCCCCTGTCACGGCAGAGAGCCGTGACAGGATCGAAAGGTGAGGGAACCCGGTATCTGTTCGCTCACCTCCCGATCTACTGAGCCGACCTGTGACAGTCTCATTGTCACAGGTCGGCTAGAACTATGAGGTGAGTGGAAATCACTCATCTCATAGTTCTCCTTTAAGCATTCTGTTATTGTTTGCATCTGCCTGCTGCTGGATGTAACTTCCACTAAAGCATCCAATAGTGTTTTGTTATGAATATATGTGTCTCCCCAGCCAATCACTAGGATGTTCTGTGGCCAGTGGTACATGCTAGGGGAGGATACAGATATTCAGGACTGACCTTGTAAGAGGGTGTGTGAAGTGTGTGCTGTCTGACCAGGCCTGCAGCCGGCAGGTGGTCAGGTATGGACCCTGTCTGAGTCTGAATCTGTTCCTGGGGTGGAGAATCAAGGAGGAACTTCATCTGCTGGAGGTGCCTGAGTAGCCAGGATAGGCTTGGACCTCAGAGAGAAGTCTGGTGCCTCTCCTATGGAATTCTATGCTAGATCTACTCACCAGCAAAAGTTCTATAGTACACAATGTTGCTACAATCAATTTAAAGAACCTCTGCACTGTGAAGCTGGGAAGTGGTCAGTGAGTGTGGAATCTGTACTGTCCTGGATGTCTGTGATCCTTTGTCCTCTCTCCTATTTTTGTCGCTTATAGAATAAAATATTAGAAAACCCTTAAAGTGACTGTTGCCCAATGATACTTTGACATTCCACAAACCAGCCAAGGACTCATCCTTGGCTGGTGAAATGTTAGCCCACCCTGCCTCTGAAGTCCCCCATATGCTTCTAGAGGTTTGGGGGGCACTATACATGTAAATGCCATTTACTGGGTCCTTCACTAAAAAGTTGCATTCCAATTTAATGTAATGGCTAATATAAATAGCCAAGGGCCAGTGTTGATGGGCTTTTGTACACATCAGAACGGCTTCTTTCCCCATACGAGTCTAAGGTATTGCAAAAGCATTTAGAAACAGTTCAAATGTGGTCAGAAGGAGGTCAATTGCGGGACAAATAGACATGTCAATGAATTTTGAATGATCTCAGAAGTGTTTTAACCAGATGGTGAAAGAGATGAAAATGGAGAAAGAGAGAAAAAGGAACTTGCATAGCAAAAGGTGTCAGGAAGTATACCCTGCTGCCCTCATACTGATCCTGTAAGGTAGTATGTGTGTCCTGTGGATGTAGTGCATTACAGTGACCTCAGAGTAAGGTAAACCAAATGAAATATCTGATTTAAGCACAGATCTATATTCTGTAAAGCATTAGTAAAGAAAGAGAAAAAGTTGGGTTTTTTTAGGCACCAACAAAATACTATATCATCAGCACCCCATAAGAACAGCCCTTGACTTGCTAATTCCATTCCATCCTCCTCACCCTGGGAATACGTGCCCCCCTGGTCCACTTGTATGTGCACTTGTTGATTTCACACTGAGGGGACCACCTCCATCTCCTGATGAAGTGCCCTGCAGCCCGAAACGTAGAGCATTGCGAGTACTGCATTACCATTAAGCATTGCAAGTACTGCATTACCACCCACCAATTTGGTTCCACTAGAGGTTTTTTCACTACCATAAAATGGATTATTTCTCCTTATGAATTGTATCTCTTTATATATTGTATTATTTATCAATCATGCCTTTAGATTTTTGATCATGTAATCTAGCCTCTAATTTGGAACTTAGGGGGTGTTAGGAGGTTCTCTCTAAGTTGTGTGTCCTTTTTACATTCCAATGCATTAACTGATGCTTTTAACTTTTTGTATGGATTCAATTAAACTATATTTTTTATATATAAACTCTCGCTTGGAGTTTATTGGACTTGTCATTTGGTGCCTAAAAAACCCCAACTTTTTCTCTTTCTTTGCTATTGTTACCTAACCAGGGGTTGGCACCTAGCTATTCAGGATCTGCGCACCATAACCATTTTTTGTTCTTCTGTAAAGCATTAATAGCTTTATTGTTTCTATTATTGCCTAGAAATGCACCTTCATTTTTAATTTTAACAGTCATAGAATGTATACTTCTTAGAGATACAACAAGGGCAGTGGGTATGAAGAATGTTATTACTAACAGCATATAATTATAAAACCTTGATTCACTTTAATCAATTAGTTTAGCATTTATAAATGTAACACCTAATTTTATTACTTTACAGGATGGAGTCAGTGGGTTTCCCGAGCTCAAGAAAAAGCAAAAGAAGAGGAGCTAGAGCCTTTAAAGTCCGTGTCCACAAGCCCATCAAATGATGAAAAAGTCTGAGACAAGAGGCCAAAGCCTAAGGATAGCCACGACTCCTCACTCACACTTCTGTTTATCAAATAGACATCTCATTCATACCGCAATATTTCTTCATTGAATTAAATGTGAACATTAAAATGATGCTGAAGAGCAATAAGGCTACAAAGGTTGTGGTAATAATTCATTGGTTTCTGTCAATGACTGACACAGACATTTTTCTTTTGGCCACATTTACATAGCACAAGAGATAACTAGCACATAGTGTTACCTTAATCCACGATGCCGTGGTTCTTCTCTTAGTCTGCGCTAGTTGTAATAACCGCTTTGCCCAAACCACTCTACACACCGGTCTCTGACCGACCTTGTGGCCACCCTTCTTGCTGACTTCATCATGCCTGCACAGTAATCAGTGCAGGACCAGCTGCCCTTTTTTAGTGCCTGCAGTTTCACTACAAAGCCAGAGACCCTTCTTCCCTTTGAATTAATAGATCTCAGCATAACTACTTACCTTTGCAATATTTACAATCGCCCTCTTATATAGCTTGACTTACTGTAGATTTCATTGACTAAGCTTTTTTAAAAAAAATTGATTTGCCATAACATGTGTTATTTTCTACAATAGGAGCCAATAAGATCTGATAATAACTGTCACATGACTGAAAAAAAAAATAATTTTAACCAGTTGCCGTCCGCCCGTAGAAAAAAAAACGGACGGACGGCTGACTCGCATCAGCGGCTTGCCGTCTCCAGACGGCATTTTTTTCCTCCTCGCCCCCCCTAGCGCGCGCACAGGCAGGAAAGACCCGCTCGTTTTTACAGCCGTTAACGGCGGTTTCTCATACAACCGATCAGCGGCTCTATAGCCACCAAAAGAGCGAACGTCGCAGTGAGAGCAATCATTTTAGGGCCATCAATCACTGATAACACTAAACTGATGAGCGGTAAAAGCTTTTAAAGCATTGCCTATGGCCAATTTTTGGGTAATGTCGTTTTCTTTTGGGTAATGTCGTTTTTATATTTTACCAAAAAATTGGGTAATAATAAATGTTTTAGAATTTAATATTAGGGGAAACAGTTTTTTTTTTACATTTTCTGTAATTTTTCCTTAATATATTAAAAAACAAAAACCCCAGTGGTGAATAAATACCACCAAAAGAAAGCTCTATCTGTCCCCATAAAAGGGTATACAATTCATTTCAGTACAGCGTTGCATGACAGAATAAATGTCAGTCAAAGTACCGCAGCGCTGAATACTGAAAAATGGCCTGGATGGGAAGGGGGTTTAACACCCCAGACTTCAAGTGGTTAACAAATAACACTTGTATTATAGCTTAGTGAACTGAGCTCTTTGTATGACTCTCAAATGTTAGAGGTGACTTTCAGTTTAATAGAATCTACCTTCATCCGCTTTCAGACTTCATGCCTGTGAAGGTTCTTATTCATCCAGGTCATGGTATATCTGTAAAAAATTAATTCAAGCACCTGGACTTGCTGTATTTTTCTTGAAGACGTTTCGATGGTCATCTGAGTAGCTTTCTCAGTTCAGAATGAATTGGAATTCTGAATTAAGAAAGCTAGGATATGGATGTTACAGATTTATGGCAAATAAATGATGGTTGTCAGCTTAACAAATATTTTATTGGATTTAGGACTTGGCTGATGAAAAATGTTGAGAAGGCTTTAAAATGACATATCTCTCTCTATCATTAACTTCATATTTTATATGATGCAACATACGTCGGTTAACTATCTGGCTGATTATTATGGTTTCTGTTGATCTATGAATGCTACATTGTCTTATTGCCATTAAATGGGATCCCCACACATGCATGTTTTATTTTTTTATATAACTATATGAGTGTTATATGTAATCTGTGGTTTGTGTGTTGATGGTGGATAATAAATATATCCACCTTATCTCTTTATATGCACTGCTGCACTAGATATAAATCAAGTCTGCCTTTATAACTGTTCTGTTTATATATTATTTTTGTATGGAATCATGCATTTCTACCAGTCTGTATTGTACATGATATATTCATAATAAACATTGATGGCAAACCACTGACAGGTTTATTTGATGTAACATACAGTACATTACATCAGCTCAAGATTGGTAATTTCTATTAAAACTATGCTTTAATATGATTAAAGTAACCCTGTTAGGAGAGAAATATGGGTGCAGTCTTTCTTGACTTCTTCTAACCATTCTAATTGCCTGACTGAAATTGTGATGCTCTGGCTGCAACCCTTTATACGTTTCTGACCCACAAGTATTCAGATTCTACTTCTTTTACTGTGTGTCCATTACAGGTCTATGATTCCAAAAGTAGTGGAGCCAGAGATGGCCAAACAACTATTAATTTTAGGAATACAGCAAGGACAATACCAGATATCTCTCACAGCCATATTCCTTGACAAGGGATCTATAGTCATTTAGATGCACAAAGCATTAATGTATATTAATGTTTTAGCAACATCTATTTTACAGAATTTAAAGTGCAGCTTACCAGTCCTTGCATAATATCTTTTTTTAAGCCTTTTCACCTGGTGATTGTGCAAATAATACAGTGCTTGTCTTAGGATGAGAACACTTAAGTAGGGTATAGACAGGGTTGGATTCCCCACAAGGCCACGGCCTTGGGGCGGCAGGGAGTAGAGGGACGGCACAGCCTACACTGGCCCCAGTGGAATTACTATTGCCTGACGCCTCGGACATGCAGTTCCAGGCACCGCGCAGGGCAAAATATACAGCAGGGAAGCCGCCACTCCTTTTGCACAAGTGGTCTTGGCAATGCTGTAATAAGCCTGCAGGTCTGTCCTCCCCCGCCACCTCCCACCATGGTCCGTCCCATACACCGGCTGTCTCTCTCCCAGCTGGCCGCCTCCCTCCTCACTATGGTTTTCAGTGTCCCCCACTCTACTGGGAGATCCGGGACCGCGGCAAAGTAGTTCAAGATGGAGAGTGGGGAGCAGAGCAGAGAACGTCCGTCCTTTGCTTTGCTCCATGTGAACATTAACTAACTCGCAGCCTTCCCATTTCAGCACAGTGCTGTGCTCAAACTCCTGTATTGGAGGTGACAGGTCCAATATAGCAATAAAGTTAAGTGGGGAAAAAAATGCTAAAAAGTAAAAAATATTAAAATAAATAAAAATTAAAAAAATAAGTAAAAAATAATAATTAAAATAAAAAAATAATAAAAGTGCTAAAAAATTATAAATAAGAAAATGATTAAAAAAGTAAAAGATAATAAGTAAATACATTTTTTAAAAGTAAAAAATTATAAAAATAAAAAAGTGATAAAAAAGTAAAAAAAAGATTAAGGAAAAATAAAAACATATGTAAAATCGAACCCTGCCACCCCGCCATCTGGTTGCCATTCTCCATTGGTGGGTATTTAGCAGGGAGGGGGCGCATTGAGGAACCTGGCTTGGGGCAGCATGGAGAGTAAATCCGGCCATGGGTATACACTGGTAGATTTTTGCATGAACGTTCGTACGGAAAATCTCGTTGTAACATTCAATACTGGCATCAGAAACTTGACGATTATTGCTCGAAATGTCTTTTAATTTAATGTTTTTATTTAACATTCTATTTTGAAATGAATGGAGTTTCCAAACAAAAGCCACATTCACTTTTAGAAACTCATTCAATCGAGAAAAATTCTCCAACGTGCTCCTGCAAACATTTTCGGTAACATTGTCATTTTCGTCTGTCAAATGCACCATACTAATTGATAGATGTTTGAACGAACATTCCCAAAATGACTTATTTCGTACAAAATTCTAACCGTTACTTTACTGAATGTTCTGTATCAAGATAGGACAATGGAACTCCACAATCACCACGGACAATCTTCATCAGATAGATGAACTCACCAAATACTTTTTCATCTATAAAGATCTTTATTGAATGCAGCAGGGTAGTAGCAGACAATAGGATGTAGCAGATGATTGTAAAGACAGTATTTGCAGGTAAAAAACAGGTAATGCCTTCCTTCTCCATGACAGCATGTGGCCACCCAGACATGTGGCCATGTGAACATGTGGCCAGCAATATGGCAAAATGAGAAGAAGAAGGAAGTACATCACACAAGGGGAGGGAATACAGAAAAGGAGGTGCACTAAATAAAATGATGTCAAGATGGCAGTATATGAACTAACTATACTACACATAATATATGATCGCATACTGAACATTAACCATATGAATACCCAATTCAATACAATACTAACCATGACTATGCATTCTATTACATTTTCATACAAAAGCTGTGCCAGCACACTGGTCATGCACATTACTTGGAGAGGGGTGTTGACGGTGCACATTACGAGGGTGGGGAGATAGGGGGTGGTGAAGGCGCACATTACTGGGAGGTGCACAGTACCACTGTCAGACGTCCCACCCAGTTCACTGGTGTCACTAGTTGCCAGGACCTGGGCGGGATGCCCACAGGGTGGCCACGTGACCCAATGAGATGGCACCTTAATCGACTCCCTTAGGGTTTCTCAATATAGGTACAGCTCTGCGCTGTGGTTCCACCCACCGTCTCCTACATTCTGTAATGATGTACTGTAGGAGCTGTCAGGAGAACCCTCAGGGAAATTCCCATCATAAGCAATTGTCACCAGAACAGGTGTCCTCATTGGATGGGTTACCCTTACTTCTTGTCAACTCCAAAATGTTGGATTTCCCATCAAGGCAGGACAAAAAAAGGTGTGAATCTCTCCAATGGGGACACAGCAATAAAAACATGGCAAAAGGTCTAACCGACCCACTTTATCCAAAACTAATAAAAACGTTTTGCATCATCATACACTTGTATGTATAATATTGTATACTAATATGAAATTTTTAGTGCGATGGCAAATATTCAACATCAGATATTTTATTAGAGTCAAATATTCTAAACTGGTGAATGCTCAAGGATGGTGAAAAAACAAAAAGAAAAGACATCAGCATTTATCTTATTTAGCCTTTGCAATATGCCTGCAAAAATAACCCTCCATATAACAGGTGTATAATATATATAGACAGTTATATAGACAGTTAAGTTGCAGTTTTTGGAAACCTCAGAGCTCCGGAGTGGTCTGCCGTATACAGAGGAAGGAAACAGAGCACATAATATGAAAAATAGTGAAGATAGCATAGATATACAGAACATTGACATTGTCTCACTACAGTCCTTATCTTCCAAATCACAAACACCCGGATAAAATCCTCTATCAGTGTGCTGCCTCAATAGTTGTATTTACAGCCACAGTTATTATTCACGTTAGTGTGATATTATAATTTATATAGTTTATTTCCTTAAACTATCCTCTCATAGACATTGTATGGGTAATTCACGTACTGCCATCTAGTGGTATTTTTTGGTATTGCACATGTTTTTCTGTGTTCCCTTCCCTCACATCTATAATGCATTTCCCCTCCACCCTTCTTCTTCAGAGTAGCATTTCCTGTGCCATGGCTGCATCTAACAGGGCCACATGTAATCTGCATGTAACAGGGACACATGTAATCTGCATTGCATGCTTCGAACAGTATCATCTTTTGACCCCTTAAATACCGCAATTCATTAATCTGCTGTATCCTGTTGTCTGCTGTAAACTGATGTACAGAATAAAGCACCTTTGTGGATGGAAAAGGTATTTGGTGAATTCAGCTATCTGATGAGGATTGTCCGCAGTGATTATATCTGCTTATACAGGCCAGGCATAGAGGTCTCAGCAAGGGATAAATCGTTAAAACAACAATTGGAGTCAGAATAATCAGTGTCTGTGCATCTGATGATTAGTATAGGTTTAGAAATGTGTCTGAGGAGGTGAGGGTTTCACTTTTAGTTTGCTGTAGTTATGTATTTAAATTCTGAGGACAGTGCATGTCTTACTATTTCCACAATAGCATCATCAGCGATCAGACTTTGCAATAATATGTGAACTATCACTGCTTACTTTTGAAGATGCAGGCTCCAGGGTTGTCATCTTTATTATTCTTTCACTACTTGGTGTCAATAAACCTGATTTGTGCATTATGAACATGCTTGCCCCAGCTAACTGGTGTCACTTACCTGGAACTAGCATGTGCATATCAGGTTTCCTGACAGTTATCTAGCTATGTGCTTGTCCTAGGTCAGTGTCTTGCTAAGTAGAATGTGGTTGGCAGCTCCAAAGGTCACAACCTCAAAAGTGGAGCAGCGAAGGCAGCACCTACACTATATTGCCAAAAGTATTGTGACGCCTACCTTTACACGCACTTGAACTTTAATGGCATCCCAGTCTTAGTCCGTAGGGTTCAATATGGAGTTAGCCCACTCTTTGTAGCTATAACAGCTTCAGCTCTTCTGGGAAGCATGTCTATAAGGTTTAGGAGTATGTCTATGGGAATGTTTGACCATTCTTCAAGAAGCGCATTTGTGAGGCCAGTTACTGATGATGGGCGAGAAGGTCTGGCTCGTATTCTCCGCTCTAATTCATCACAAAAGTGTTCTATCGGGTTGAGGTCAGGACTCTGTGTGGGCCAGTAAAGTTCCTCCACCCCAACTCACTCATCCATGTCTTTATGGACCTTGCTTTGTGCACTGGTGCACAGTCATGTTGGAACAGGAAGGAGCCATCCCCAAACTGTTCCCACAAAATTGGGAGTTGGGAGCATGAAATTGTACAAAATGTCCTGGTATGCTGATGCCTTAAAGGAGAACTATGAGTTGAGTGCTTTTCACTCACCTCATAGTTCTAGCCGACCTGTGACAATGAGATTGTCACAGGTCGGCTCAGTAGATCGGATCCCAGCACAATTGTCGGTATCCGCTTCAGCTGCGGCGTCTCAGTATACCGCGAGCAGCAGCTCACGGTATACTGCGGCGTCTCAGTATACCGTGAGCCGTAGCGGTGCCTAGGGTGACGGGAGGATGCTAGTTTGTGTCCTCCCGTTACCCTAAGGAGAACTATGGGGAAAAGACTTAACCCCATAGTTCTCCTTTAAGAGTTCCCTTCCCTGGAACTAAGGGGCCAAACCCAGCCCCTGAAAAACAACCCCACACCATAATCCACCAAACTTTACACTTGGCACAAGTACCGTTCTCCTGGCAACCGCCAAACACGTGTGCAAGTGGCAGCGGGGGTCAAGGGCCCATTCGAGGTGGCTTCAGAGAGGCCCGGGGGGCAATTGCCACCCTGCCCCCCGGCCCAGACCGCCCCTGTCAGTAAGAAAGACTTAAGAGAAGAACAAGTCAAAAGATCCTGTGATTGGATTAACTCAAGAGGCCCTAAAGAATGGGCAAAGAGAGCTTTTGATGACAGGTTTTCCCAAGGAGGCTAAGCTAATTCACAAAGAGTGGGATAGGCTACAGCTGCGTGGCAGGGTGGTCTACCGAAGAGGGCCCTCAGACAATGCAGAAGAGTGCCTGCAACTGTTTTTACCTGAGAAGTTCAGAGGAAATGTAATGAAATCTTTACATAATGATCATGGTCATGTAGGAGTTAACAGGATGCTGAAGCTGGTCAGAGATAGATTTTACTGGCCTTATATGAGGACCAAGGTGGAGAGATACTGTCACTCCTGCCTGAGGTGTATTCAAAGAAAGACCTTACCCTCCAGAACAGTTTCCATCTGGATAATGGGACATAGTTACATTTTCTGGGCGCAGCAGCATGCGTCCCGGAGGGTGTATACGGAGAATCTTTCTCTAAACCCAGATAGGTTTCTTGTCTCCTAGGCAGGTCAGCGAGGTATGAGGTGCGGTGATTTGATTACCTGTTTAGTTCAGATGTATGATAAATGGCCTGCTCCTGATATATTGATTATACACCTGGGAGGTAACGATATTGGAAAGTGTAACACTGCTGAGTTGCTTTTTCGCATGAAGAGGGATATCTCTTATTTGAAGCTGTATTCCCCTCACACTTTTATAATTTTTTCCGAAATAGTTCCTCAGTTGCTGTGGTTACTTTCCCCTGCGTTTTGGCGCTAGGAAAAAATTAGTAGGAGCATCAACAGGTCTATGGAAAAGTTCCTGCCTTTTGTGGGTGGCTTTTCTTATAGACATCTCGAAGGTGGTATTCACGGTATTTACCGAAATGGTGCTGTTCATCTTTCTGATGTTGGTCTTGACATCTTCAATCTTGGATTGCAGAACTGTTTAGAAATGGCCGTGGTGGGGGTGCCAGGCTTTAGTTAAAGCCTGGCTTGTGGGGACATTTTAACCCTTTCGCTGCCATCGACTTAAGGCATACGGCGGAACAAAAGTGTTCCCGGCTGGCCAGCTCAGTATGCCTTAGTTGAAAACTATTATTATTGGTGTGCTTGGGCCTTTCTAGCCACTCACTAGTTATGTAATTGAAGTTATTTATTTATTTATATATATTTAAAATATTTGAATATATTGAGTAAACCAATAAAAAATGCAGCGGCCATTTCTTGCACACAGACCGTTGTCTCACCTTCTCACCTTGCTCCAGCTGACATCCGAAGGAGCTCACCCTCACCCACCCTATATACGCTTCAAGACATTTCTGTCGCGGCATTGTTTATGTGGTCCGTCACCTCCCTAAGGGGGACATTTTAAAAGATGTTGAAAACTGTTTATTATTATTAGTGTGCTTGGGCCTTTCTAGCCAAGCAGTAGTTATGTAATTGAAGTTATGCTATTTATTTATATATATATTTAAAATATTTTAAGTAAACCTATAAAAAATGCAGAGGCCATTTCTTGCCACTTGGAGAGTGTTTGTTTTATTTTAGTAATATAAAAGGTTTGCATGGTTTGAATGTCGCTTGCTTTTCCACACTGTACAAAGCTGGCTGGTGGTCCATTTTAGTTAAAATAATGTTATCATTATTTATTACAGGAATTTATATAGCACCAACAATTTACGCAGCACTTTACATAGTTGCACATTCAAAGCAGTCCTGCCCTCACGGAACTTCCAATCTAAGGTCTCTATCTCACATACATACACATAGGCCCTATGTAGAAAGGATCCAATTAACCTTCCACCATTTCTTTGGAATGCTGGAGGAAACTGGAGTACTTGGAGGAAACCCACACAGATACAGGGAGAACTGCAGATAGTGTCCTGACCGGGATTTGAACCAGGGACCCCCAGTGCTGTTAGGCAGAAGTGCTAACCACAATGCCACTGTGATGATTATTGCAAAGCAGCGTTGAAAGGCAGAATGAATTTCTCCAGCCAGACTGTGTACCATCATATCTACAAGAAAGCTGCCACATTTGTTGATGATTCAGTACGATTTCTAATTGGGAATTGTGCCTGCGTGCCGGTGCGCTCAAAATGCTGCATGCCTTGCTTTGTGCCTTGTGATTCCGTGCGGGCGATCGCATTGTTGGAGGGCGTTGCTACGGTGCCATTCACTTCAATGGCCAGCCACGCCCCCTCCGGACCCACGAAATACTGAGCCGGCCGCAATGCGATGCAGTGCCTTCTGGCTGAAACGTGGCCGGAACGCACTGCATATGGTGTGAACAGGCCCTAAAAGCTTTCTTTAGTATTGGTGTAGTAAATGGTAAACTCCATGTAAATAAATTCACACGCCTGCCATCTGCTGTTCCCTTTGCAGCTGGTTCACAGGTAATGTGTAAGCAAACAATGACTTCTAATACAGTACAAACACTGTCTCTGTGCTTCCGTTGTTGGCTGATGTGGATTGCTTCTCTACCCGGATCCTTACAGAATCACCACTATAGAAGAAACCAACAATGTCTCAATCGGATGCTGAAAACTCAGATTCTCCGAGGAGGAGGTTCGAACTAGAGGTCCACGACAAGGACACAAAAGATGCCTTCAGTAAGGGAGACCCAGATGCAAAAAGAGATAAGCCACCCATGGATTCACACATGCAGGGTGAAAGTAACAATTTCTCTCCTGATATCGGTATCAACTATGATTTCCTTCCATCGCTGCCAGGCTCCAAACTCAAGTAAGTGCTTGTTCTATGTAGGAACACATTGCAGAGAGCTAGGATGAGCAGTAACTCATAGCCACAAATCAGCTTTCCTGTGTTCATTGTATTCAAATTAATGAAAGATGATAGACAGCTGTAGGTTATTGCACTCTGCTCAGGCCTACGTCTAGGAAAAGGTAAAAAAGTATAGCTGCTCAAGCTTCACCCACAGCAGAATGTTCAGGGATTGCTGGTGCTCAGCAAGGCTCCCATTCACCTCCAGCCACAGACACAAAGAAGTCTTCAAATATGTCTATGACACATATATAGGACAGGTTCCGAAAAGTGACACTAATCTCAGGAGTTATAGCTTAAAAATCCATTCAAGTACCCAGGGCCGGTGCAAGGATTTTTTTCTACACAGGTGAAGGTGCATTTTTGCGCCCCCTTCCCGGTGGGCCTATGCAGTCTTACACCAGCATCAGCACACATTAAGTTCATCTTTCTGACCATGTTTCATATTACAACCATATTTAGGGCCATGAAACATGCAATCTGGCCATGAAACATGCAATCTGGCCATGAAGCATGGCCAGATTGTAAGCACTGTCCCTGTTACTGCATGTCCGTATCTCAGTACTGGCATGGATGGAAGTAGGGATGCACAGATACTGAGTATCGATCAAGCACTTGCCATTACCAATTACCAGGTCTTGAAAAATCCGCTTGTCCTCTCATCTGAGACGAGAGGACGCAGGAGCCTGACGAGTAACTTCCCGGCCAGCCGTTGTAATTAAACGGCCGGCCGAGAGCTTTACATTCAACTGACAGGGCGTATCTCGAGACGACCGATCGCTTGTATTAGCAGCATCTTTCACTGCCGTTGCCGGTCCCGAGATCCGCTGTGCCCAGTGCGGCCAGCAACGGCAGTGAAAGATCTCCCTCTGATCTCCTCTCCAGTCCTCGAATGCAGGAAGTGATGTATATTACATCACTTCCGCATTCTGCTGTTACTCTCCAGCTTCAGAAGCTGGGGAGAAGCTGGTGAAGCAGCTCTCTGCTTCATCAGCTTCTCTGGGGGTCCCTAGGTGACATTAGGGGTCTTGGAGACCCCTGATGTCTCCATGAAGAGGACCTGTCATGTAAATTGGCTATCACATAGGGGGATTCTTATCCCCCTATGTGATAGCAATAAAGTTAAGTGGAAAAAAAAGTGTAATAAAAAAAATTAAAGAAGCATAAAGAAATACACAACATTTTTTAAAAAGTCACCCGCCCCCCACATACACACGCAAACATGTGTCGGGTGCGACCATGTGCGAAAACGACGATTGCGCCTATTGTGCCGCACATGTTACATATCGCCGTGAACGTCCTAGTGAGAGTAATAATTCTTGGGCCATTAATCACTGATATCACTAAACTGATTAGCAATACAGCGTTTAAAGCGCCGCCTATGGGCAATTTTCAGTGTGGTAGTTTTTTGTGTTTTGCAGGCGTGCACAATTTTAAGGCTTGACATATTTGGTGTCTTTTACCTGCCGTGACCCCCATCTTTTATATTTTACCAAAAATATGGGTAAGAATACAATCTTTATAACATAACATAGGGAAAACATTTTTTTTTTTTAAGACTATAGTCCGGTCATGTTGACTGGTGAAAGTTTTGACTGACTGATGAGACACGCAAAACATTTTTACCAATACTTTTTACTGTCATGTGACAGTTTTCCTAAAGCAATACAGATGAATGATTTTAGGACAATGGTGGAGCACCAGAGCCCAGTCACAGCTGCAAATGCTGCACCCCTGGTAGTTCAAAACACAAAAAGGTCCCCAGCACACCTGCAAGCTAGCCTGCAACAAAACAAATTACCCTGTCAACAGTAAAAAACAAAGGTTTTAGTTGCACAAACCTTTGGCCAAAAATATGTAGAAGCCACACCACCCCGTCAAGGCACCTCTATAAAGTGTGGTCCTAACTCTATTTATATGAGCCTCCAAGAGTGAGCACATTAATGCAGTCGATAAATTAAATGCAGGTGTACCTGGAGGTTACCTACTCCTCCTCAAAAGGTGCAGGGACGCACTGGAGGCCCAGCAACCAAAAATGCACGCTGGTAGTTCTGCCACTCTGACTCCAAGCTGTATAGGGACTACAAATCCCAGTAATACATAATATAGCAATGCAGAATACCACCAGCTATAGAGGACTACAAATCCCAGCAAAACTTTATACAGAAATGCAGTATAATTCCATCAGCTATAGAGGACTACAAATTCCAGCAATACATTATACAGCAATGCAGAATAATATAAAGCTAGATACTCTGTGTTGCTGGTCTGATGTCTACAGCAGAGTGTCTCGGGAGGGCTGTGTGCAGTCTCAGGGGGGCTGCACGTGGTCTCAGGGGGGCTGCATGCGGTCTCGGGAGGGCTGCGCACGGTCTCGGGAGGGCTGTGCACGGTCTTGGGAGGACTGCGCACGGTCTCGGGAGGGCTGCACAGTCTCAGGAGGGCTGCACACGGTCTCAGGAGGGCTGCATACGGTCTCAGGAGGGCTGCACATGGCCTTGGGAGGACAGCGCGTGGTCTCGGGAGGGTTGTGCGGTGGTGTGTTGCAATATTGAAAAAATAGTGTATGCAATGCCAAGTTAGTAGAACGCAGGGTTCTGCATTAATACACATCGCAGTGTGGGTAATTACACTGCATGCGGGATAAATTCAGCATTTGTGTGGGCATTAAGCTAAGGAAATGGTGTTTCATAGTGTTTAAACCTTTTATATTAAATGTATGTGTATTTTATTTAGTAGTATAGTTGTATAAACACGATGTATAAATGCTATGTAGCACTGTAGAGCAGCATACTGACATACAAACACACACTCACTCGCTCACTCACTCTCTCTTTCTACAGCCCCCCCACACACACACACACAAACACGGAAACATGAGAAGAAATACTCTGACACTACACAAACAACATCTCACATCCATAGAACGAGCGGGAGGACTTACTGGGAGCTTCTTCACACACTGCTCATGAGAGGCATCACAGCTAGCAGACCAGCCTCAGCTACTTCACAGTCATCGCAGCACAGAAAAGGGGGTGGGGTGGACATCACACCGGCCGAAGAAACATACCACTGTACTTTTTTACCTCAGCCTGCTTGTCTGCAGGGATAGTGGCACCGTTTGTCCGACCCCACACCGGCGCCCTCAAGTGGCTGTTTGACCCGCTTGTTCACTTACGCCGGGCCTGCAAGTACCTTAACTATTAGCAAAAATGTATCTTATTTGTGTATCACTCGACTGTAGATCCTCAAACCATCTCTGAATTGGTGCTGGCACTGTCCTTCCTTCTGGAGGAGGGCTACTTTTGCTCCCCATGGTCCCTGTGTGTGTTGTAACGCAGCCACCACTCCAAGGTCGCTCCCGTGATGGACTACAATTTCAATACAAATGAGTGAACTAACAGTGAGATTGTAGTCCATCACTGGAGCGAGCTTGGAGTAGTGGCTACGTTACAACACACACAGGGACCGACCATGGGGAACAAAAGTAGCCACCCTCCAGAAGGAAGGACAGTGTCAGCACCAATTCCGAGATGATTTCAGGCATCCCAACTCTCCCGGATCCTCCGGGAGTCTCCCGCTATTAGATCACGGCTCCCGGACGCCCGGGAAAAAAACACTTTCTCCCGGAAAGGTTTACTTTGCTCGATTGAGCAGAGTAAACCTTTCCCTGCTCTGTTTTTGGGTTTTTTTCCCGACATTGGAGCTGCCGGCCGCCATCAGTCAGAAAGAAAAAAAAACTAGCATAGGAATGCATAGCTAGATTCCTATTGGCTATTTCACTTTGCAATAGCCAATAGCAAACTAGCTATTGCACCCGCCCACTGCTGCTGTCAATCAGCAGAGGGGGACCTGAAGTTCTCTATCAGGTCCTTTCACTGCAATCTCAATACAAATTAGTAAACTAAACATGAGATTGTAGTTCATCACAGGAGTTATCTTGGAGTGGTGACTACTTAACAACACACACAGGGACCATGGGGAAACAAAAGTAGCCACCCTCCAGAAGGAAGGAAGGACAGTGTCCGCACTAATTCAGAGATGATTTGAGGATCTACAGACGAGTGATATACATGTAAGATACATTTTTGTTAATAGTTAAGGTACTTGAATGTATTTTTAAGATATAACTCCTGAGTTTAGTGTCAATTTAAGATGTTTTGCAGCTTATCCAAGCTGTTTCATCAGTTCTAATGATTGTCAGAATTAAACATACCCCAACATTTATGTCCACACAGGTAACTCAGTGCAGAGGATATGTTATAATCTGTACACACCCAATGTATTACATGCCTATGACATTTCCTGTATATTATATCTGCAAAAAGAGTCGTGAGCTGAACTTCGAGGTAAGCAAATATTTTCTAAATACAAGAGGCATGTGCATTTGTACCTGACTCTTGGTGTGCTTTGTGTATCTCTTAGATCTGTGCAGTAATACAGCATGAAACCTTGCCTTTGTGCAGGAGCTTCCTGTAATAAAGACCAGTCACTGCTGCTCTCTTTCCTTGTGAAGGGTGGTTGGTCTTCTATCCACCCGCTATTATAGTTTTCGTCACGCAGTCTGTAGTGGGTGGGTGTGTTGGGTCCCCCAACAGCTCTGCTCTCTGCACATGCTATGTGGAGCATAATGATGATGTCACTTCTGCTTTAAAAACCTAGAAACTGGTTTTGCAAAGGCATGTGGTGCACAGAAAGTGGATTTATACCCTTTTGGCTATTGAGGAATATATTTAAATGATTTTTTTTGTGCTCAGAGTTCAGTTTTAAATAAGCTTGGCTACTGATACATGTGTCTTACTGACATATGTAGGGAGTCAGTCAATTTCCTTCAGTCTGTTATTTTAGGTGCACTTCAAGGAATGATGTATCCCTTATCTGGATTCAATGCAGAGGTCTGTGATCTTTATAGCTACGTCAAATATGACAGTCGAGAATCTTATACCCACTTTGCCACTGTCTTGACCTCAAGATCTAAGAGTAGTTGCTAACTTGGACATCTCATTTGCCATTTATGTACTTCAGGATTAAAACCTTTTTTCAATACATTTTTCATTATCTTTCCCAAATAAAAAAAAATCTGCAAGTTGTTTGGAAATACAACAGCCTATGCGGATATATACTGATTTGTATTACTGACATTAAGAGATGTAATATTGTCTTTTGAGCACTAGATGGCACTGTGGTGCAAAGCTAGTCAATGCTAGTTTTTTTTATATGCATGCTTTTGTCGATGATATTTATGTTTCCTGTTGATGCTGTATGTATGTATGTATGTATGTATGCAACGTTCTTCTAAGCAAGTAAGACTTAATTCAGCATTCCTCAAGATCTCAGTACTTCATATAAATACATAACCAACAGGTTATGGACCCAGGCAGAACACTGAAAGCCAACACGTGCTGCATCCAAGCTGCTGAAAGATGGTGAGCAGTTCAGATATGTAGTTTGCAATTGCAAAGCTCAACAATTGCAACTACCAGCTATGGAAGTTCAAGCTTGAAATGCTGCTAAGCAAAGATGACTTGTGGCAAGTACTGAGTACAGACAGACCCAGTAATGGACCCAGGGAGCAATGGGACAAGAAGAACAGGCAATCAAAAGCAATTATAAGTCTGCTAGTGGAAGACGACCAGCTTATCCACATAAGAAAAGAAAATACAGCTAAAGGTATGTGGACAGCATTACAGAAACTGCATGAGCATTCAAACTTAAACAGCAAACTATATCTGCTATGCAAACTACATAAGATGAGGCTAGAAAGGCCAGGTGTGAACATGTGGATACCATGCTGCAAATCATAGAACAACTATGTGCAATTGGAGAGGAAATTAAAGATAACCACGTGGTGGCATTACTGCTATGCAGCCTTCCAGAGTCATACAATGCTCTTATTAACAGTCTAGAAACCAGACCTGAGCAGGCACTAACACTAAAATACACCAAAGGAAAATGAATTCATAAATATAACAGAAGGAAATAAAATATACACAACAAAGAAAACAAGAAAGCACTTAAAGGTGCATGAGAGTTCAAAGCAAAACAAAGAAAGCAGAGCGTGTTTTTGCTGCAAGTTCTTTTTCAGGTGCTGGTCGCCTTAAAAAGAACTCTTCAATCTGGAAAGCTGAGCAGGGAAAGCGAGAGACACCCACAAGAGAAACAGCTAAGGCAGTCACAAAGGAAACTGCAGAAACATCATGGAGTGCTACCTTTAAAGTGACTCAGAACAATATACCACGCGGATGGTGTATTGACTCAGACACAACAAATCACATGACCAGTGATGAGACCTTCTTTACAGACCTTCTTTACAGCAGAGGATAACGTTTTACCAGCAAATGGGAAAAGTAGTATTGCAGGAGGTGAAGGTCAAGGATTCTTGAACTGCATTACACCATCAGGGGACAAGCAGAGTATCCGTATGAAAAATTTACTGTATGTTCCAGACCTAGAAGGAAGCCTTCTATCAGTGAAAACCCTTGCTAACAACGGTCTCACAGTTCAATTCAGAGGTGATAAATTTACAATCCGAAATAATAAGCAAATCTTTGCAAAAGGAAAATTGGATGAATACCTGTACAGACGCATCACCACAGACAACCAAGTCAAGACAGCCACTCATAATCCACACAACAAATGTATCCATCTATGACACAGATGACTAGGGCACCAAAACCCAGAAGCCACAACAGACATTATAAAGAGAGGCTTATCAAAAGATATAACCGTACTGCCCTGCCAAATGCTCATAACAGGCAAATGCTGTATGGAAGCAAAAGCTACACATATCCCACTTCCACAGCTCACTCAAAGAAAAACCACCCACCCCATGGAGCTCATACACAGTGTTTGCGGATCAATTAAAACTCCTGCATCAGACGGGAACAGATATCTACTGACGTTCATTGATGATTATTCCAAGTACACAACAACATTATTTTATATGTTAATATTAATAATTATGTTAATGTTATTTACATAATTATTACATAATTTAATATCTGGGGATGTGGCTGCCATTAGCTTTCAGCATCTAAATAATATAGTAATGGGATAATCATAAATCCCATGACTGCGAAATGTCAGTGATATTACATTTCTATAAAATGATTATGATCTATCGATCTTTCTATCTATCTATCTATCTATCTATCTATCTATCTATCTATCTATCTGCCTGTCTATCTATCTATCTTTGTTAATTATTTTTTTAAAGATCTCCCATTTGATTTTAAAATAAAAAAGCAGAACTTACTGCAAAACTTACCTCCTATGTGGCAGTGTCTCCCACTGTAATTCCCTTCTGCACAGTGTCATTCAACCTAGAAGACTGTGGACATCTTATAAGTGCAGGGTGTCATGGTCCCTTCCCCATGACAGGAGTAGGTGAGTGGTAGGAGTAGGTCATGACTGACGTGAAGACAAACCTGCAAGAGGCAAGTATAAAAAAAAATAAAGAAAACTATACATATGAGAGGAGTCCAGGATGGGAGGGATGCTGCTCCTCCATAGATGTAGTACAGTACAGTACTGGGAGCTGTTACCTTAGAACAGGAAGTGCTACTGGCAGGATCACCATGTAAAAAATAATGAAAAAAAGACATATAAAAACTAATACAGCAACCACATCTAAGTACTGGTAAGCTGCAATATTACAATTTTGTTCTGGGGTTTAAATACTCTACAGTAACTCCATGCTCTTTGATTCAAAGGCCCCCTGACATTGATCGAAAAGATGTTTACATAAGAGACAGAATCTTTGAAGCTGTTGTCAACCATGACACCGAGGACCTTGCTGGATTGAAAAACTATTTGCGCATAATCCCGAAACATCTTACTAGCATGGAATATAAAGGTAAGTGTTCTCACAGTTTTCCTGACTATTTACAGATCAATTGGAATGCCAGTACAAGACCAGCAGACATTTCTGGAATGCAGCCCTTGGGATTTGCCTTGGTTTCAGCAGTTGTCAGACAGGGTTCGGATATGGGAAACCAGACTAAGGTTTAACTAGAGGTTATAGGATACAGAGAGAGAATAGGTAGTCAACAGAGACATGCATGCTAACCACTAACAAGAAAGAAAAAAAAAGCGAGCTGACAGAAGCAGCCGAGCACACGGACAGGCGCCGTGCTGCCCGGACCCCCCAATCCTTGCGGCAGCCGCACCGGCTGCACTGCCGGTAGGTCCGCCCGCCTCTGTATGCAGTCTTTTAGTAGCATGCATGAGCTATACTCAATGTATTGGTCACTGTAGTCGATTGTAGTCACCAGTACAGTAAGCTATGTAAAATCCACATTTTTACAGTTGTCACCAGAGTGGGAGATGACTGGAAATCTAAAAAAGATGACTGGAAGTCTAAAAAAGATGACTGAAAATCTAAAAAAGATGACTGGAAATCTAAAAAAGATGACTGGAAATCTAAAAACAGATTGTTCTGATGACAACTGTCTAATGGAATTTCCACTTACTTGTGAGAGATGTCCTCTTACTTCCTGTTGCATTTCTGGGATACAGGGGGTTTAACTATCCCCTGCTTAATCCTAAATTACAAAAAAGGTTTAGGCTATAGATACACTCAAAGAATTGTATTTTGCTATGGGTGATATAACTGGAATGTTGGGCATACATTGTAATTATGGATGTTCAGATACCAAGGACTGTACTCAGTACAAGTACATGTACAGATAGTTTTCCAGTTCCAGGACTAGACTAGGGAAAAATTCTAAAGTTAAAGGGGTTCTAAACCCTCCCGTTTTTTTGCCTATATCTACTGCTATCAATCAGTAGATATAGGCAAGCATTTTAAAAAAAAACAAAACGCTAAAACAGCGGTTTAAACTTAAACTTACCTTTTTTTCTTTGCGCGCTCCTGCCCGAGAAAACGAAACTGTTCGGGCGGCCGCAAAGCATTTTTGGGCAGGCGCATGCGCAGTTCGGATTGCCGGGAGACGAGCAGAGACGCAAGGTAAGTGTATGGACGCGTGCACCCGCATGCAGACATCTCTGGATCGGAGAGACAGAGCAGTCAGCGCTGGATGGGAGAGCCGCCTAACCGCTGGAGGGACAGATGAAAACATCAGGAAAGAAGAAGAAGATCGGAATAAGAGACATCATTTAAGGTAAGTGCTAACATTAACATGGCGGGAGGGAAAACATTTTTTTGACTTTAATGTCACTTTAAGAGGCAGCTGTCATTTGTATGGATCATACGGAGCTCCTGGGATTTGTACATCCCCATTTTAATGCATTTGTTTTTTTTGTAAATATATATAAGTGATGCACCGATACCATTTTTCCAAGTACAGGTACTGATACTTGCCCAAGTACTCACAGATACAAGTACTGATACATTTTTGTTTATTGTCATGTGACAGTTTTTCTAAAACAATACAGACTAATGATTTCAGGACAGTGGTGAAGTGCCAGAGCTCGGTCCCAGCTGCAACTGCTGCAACCCTGATAATTCTCATGAAAATGCCAAGTATCGGCACTGGTATCTGAACTGGTATCTGGACATCCCTAATTGTAATGTAGCAAAGATTGCTTGCGACCATATTGACTTTTATTCTACATATCAGTTGTGCTTGACAAAAGAACAGTTCTTATCCATAGCAGCAAATCAGATTGTCCCATTCCTGCTCACGTTTAATACTGAAGGTGTGAAATTGAGATTTTGATTAGTTGCCATCAAAATCTCATGGGTTGTGAGAGTTCATATCCTGTGTTCTCACCTGAGTGTTCTTGTAACTGAGCTGTAAGGCTCTTTGAGTCTGTATATTTGTCATGTGCTCTGTCTCGATTATTTTATAAAGGAGTAAAAAGTTAGTTTTGGCTTGAATGCCAAGTAAAACACACAAATAAATCAGTCTTCTTTTTAATGTCCAGATCCTGACACAGGGAAGACATGTTTATTAAAGGCCATGTGGTATCTAAAAAATGGAATGAATGATACAATTCCTATATTGCTGGAAGCTGATGAGACGCCTGGTAAAGCGAAGGAACTGGTTAACGCAGCATATACCCATGAATATTACAAAGGTAAATGTACACATTGTTTTTCAATGCCTATTATGTTTTTTTTTAACTGAATAGCTGTCTAGAGAAATGCTTAGGTTCTTTTATACAGTATATAAGTATTCAGCCCCTTGGTGTTTTTCCTGTTTAACAGCATTACAACCTGGAATTAACTTTGATTTATTGTGACAAAGTCAATAATTTGGGCAAAAAAACTCAAGAAATCTAGAGTGTGCATAAGAATTCACCCCACCCCACCCCCCTCCCCCAAAAAAGTTAATACTTTGTACATCCACCATAATAAATCCGTATTTGTTTTTGATTTAGTATCCACTATCTGCATATTGCACTGACAAGCTTGCAAGCCTTATTGTTATTTTTGTACACTAAATAGCATCATACAAATTAGTAAAAAAAACCAAAAAACTTCTACAGAGTTGTATTGCAAAATGTAGCAATAAAAAGAAACAAACATAGGGGGCTCTACCATTTTAGCCTACAACAGCCGCCACTAAGTGGCAAACCGCAGTCAGGACACGGACCAAGTGGCGGTTCACCGATCACTGACCTGCACTGGGTTATGGCTGCCTGACAGTGGATATACCGGCCTCTGAGGCCAGTGTTTCCGCTGCCAGCCAAAACCCAGCACAGGCCCTCCCTCCACTTCAGCCATTGGTTGCTAGGACCACTGGATTCAGGCAGAGCCTGCTGCTAGGACAGTACAGCTACCCAAATCACTTATAGCAGCCTGCTATTGAGAGCCCTCTTTTCACTGCACCTCCCCACTAGTGTTTTTGGGTCCCCCACTTCTCTAGGGGGCCGGGGACCATGGCACACAATAAAAATAAAAAAAATAGAAAGGTGATAAAAAATAATAAAATAAAACATTAGAGAAAGGTGATAAAGTAAAAAAAAAAAATCAACCCTGCCCCCCACCATTTGATTCAACACATAAAGACATGCGGGTAAGGCATGCGCGTGTATGTATGTATGTGCATTGCAGGGAAGCTGCTGGTGTGAATACAGCCTAATGGAAAGGTTATTCACTGGACCTCCTTGAATTCAATTTGTTACCCCTGGCCTACAATCTAGAGGACTTTTATATGTTATACATGACAATGTTTTGAATGATTTAATATGACATGGTTTTTGTCTCAACCATCATTTTATGCTACAGAAAGTATTTAATAAGGACATGAGACAAACAAAACAATACAGACTAATGATTTTAGGGCAGTTTCATAATTATGAAGAACTATAACTCAAGTCATAATTATTCAGCAATGGAGAATGGCAACCAGCAATCACAGATTGCTAAGATTTGTAGTCCTCTATAGCCAGTTGCTGTTCTCTATTGCTGTATAATCATTGTTTATACAGCAATGGAGAATGGCAACCACCTATAGAGGAGTACAAGAGCCAGTATTAGGGCATTTTCACGAGTACGAGTACTCATGAAAATGCCCTCTATCGGGCCCGATACCGATACAAGTATCGGGACAACCCTAGTGTTTAACCATTTCATTTAGTGTCTGCCCAATATTACTTACTATTTTTGTTTATTTTACACACACACACACAGGCACTACTGCTAACAGCTATACAAGATACAAACATTTTACAGATATACATTGCAATCTAACGTGTAAGATTTCTTTGTACAGATAAGCCCTGGTTCCCTGGGAATGATGAGTGCACATGCCCTGCCCTGCAATGATGACTCCCTCCCCTGCAATGATGATCACCCTGGATTCCCCATAGACTTATGACCCTCAAAACCTCAGATCTTAAACCCCCTGATTGATCACCACCCATAAACCTGTAAAATCCTACAGACATTTTTTATAAACGTGTTTTTAAACGTGTTTTTTATTCATTCACCAATTTTTATTTAATCCATCAAGTTTTAAACAGACTTTGATTCTGACTATATTCATGTGTACATTGGTTTGTACTGGTTGAGCAGTCCTTTCTGGCGCTTTTTTGTGTTGTTTTTTTCTGTACCACCCATAAACCAACCAAACCCAGTGAAAGAATATGTAGTTGTTTGTATATATAGTTGTTTGGAGTCCATTTTCTGAAGCTACATTCTCTCATAAGTCTTGTCTATTAGACATGTGCACCAGCAAAAAATTTGTTTAGTTTAGTATCGTTTTGAAAAAAAAAAAAAATTAGTTTAGTTTAGTTTCATTTTGAAACAAACCAAAAAAAAATTGTTTAGTTTCGTTTTTCGGGTCCGAAATTAAATTAGTTTCGGCCGAAATTCGTTTATGAAAAAAAACAAAACTTTAAATATTACTTGACCTGGCCTGGATTTGAACCTGGGACCTTAGCAATGGCAAGCCTGTACACTAACCGCTACTCTACAGCCTCTGTATAGACACTGTCCTTCCTTTTGGAGGGTGGCTACTTTTCTTCCCCATGGTCCCTGTGTGCATTGTAAAGTAGCCACCACTGCAAGCTTGCTAACGGGATGAACTACAATCTCATGTTTAGTTTACTAATTTGTAAAGATTTCACTCCCGTGGTGGGCTATAACTTCAATACAAATACAAATTAGTAAACAATATGTGAGATTGTAGTCTATCGCAAGACGGAGCTTGGAGCGGTGACTACTTTACAATATGCACAGGGACCATGGGCACAAAAGTAGCCATCCCAGGAAGGAAGGACAGTCTGAATTGAAAATATGGAAAGTCATGTCCTTAGAGTTTTAATGAAAAATCAATATGTCTCTGAAGAATAGCTTTTAAACTTTAATTACACGAAGTCTAGAAAACAATATAATATCCCGGTGGCCAATTTTTAGGGGCTCTGCAGGGGCCCAGTGAGATTCAGTCCCGGTACCCCCCTTACCTATTAGAGGTGGCTCGGTTCTTTAAATTATTAGGTAGACTCAGCTGCCTTGAGGTCCCGCATTTCCTGGGGACCTCACAGCAGGCGAGTCTGCCTGTATACAGCGCCGGCTGATCCTTCCTATCTGCCCCCCTGATCCTCCACATCTGCTCCTCTGATCCTCCTCATCTGCCCCTGATGATCCTCAAAATCTCCCCCTGATGATCCTCCACATCTGCCCCGCTAATTCCCTACATCTGCCCTGCTAATTCCCTACATCTGCCCCACTGATCCTCCACATCTGCCCTTGCTGATCCTCCGCATCTGCCCTGCTGATCCTGCGCATCTGCCCCGCTAATTCCCCACATCTGCCCTGCTGATCCTCCGCATCTGCCCCTGATGATCCTCCACATGTGCCCCTGAGGATCCTCCACATTTTAGTTTAGAGCAGTGCTTCATAAAGTGTGGGTCGTGACCCCATGTGTGGTCCCGCAAGTGAACAGGGGGGTCGCGATCCGAGTCCCCGGCCAGGACTGCCATCAGGGGGGTATGGCCGGTACTTGTGTGAGGGGCCCAGGCTGCCGAGGAGGTCTGGGATCCAAGCCAGATTATTTTATTTCAGTTTACTGTATTACTTGGTACCTTCCTGAGCACGTGTGTGCAGAAAGATTTTTTTTTTTTTTACATTGACTGAACTTTCTTTAACTCAGCAGCAGTGGAGCACAGCTACTGGACGTAAAGGTAAGGAGGGGGCTGGGGCTTAGTAGTACTGACTGACAGACGCTGGGGGGAATCAAGCCAGAGATTTAGAGTGACAATTAAGCAACTAGCATTTTCAGAAGCCTCCATTAATTCTTGTCATGACAGATTTCCTTAGGGCCTGATTCACACTTTGTAATGAGAATGTTAACTTTGATGAGTAAATAAGGTGATGCTGTGCTCACTCCATTTATCCAATCATGTGAAAAGAAAAATAATGTTTTTCCTTGCACATTATTGGGTATTAAAATTAAAGATAGCTTTAACTTTTTTTTTTTGCTAATCAAACATTTCACTGTTTTTCTGTGCCACTGCAGGACAGACAGCTCTCCACATAGCAATTGAGAAGAGAAGCCTTCAACTGGTCCAGCTGCTAATAAAACACAACGCTGATGTCCGTGTCAAAGCAGAGGGCATGTTTTTCCAGAGAAGGAAGAAAGGAGTCAGTTTTTACTTTGGTAAGATGTCACAAGCATGTTCCTGAGCAATTGGTCTCTACAAAATATTATACTGTATATTATATATATTTTTTCAAATACTTCATAATATTTACTATTTACTATATACTGTATACAGTATAGTTGATCCATTAAAAAGTGGGTTGTTTACATAGCTCAATAACTGAAGCTCAGATTACATGCATAGTACAATCAGCCTCTGTATGGAGCTTGAAGTGTCCCATGCCATTCCTCTTGCTATCCCATCTAATAGTACTTATGCAGGGCAACTGTTTAAGCTTTTTATCGCCTCCTTTCTTCTGTCACATCTCTCTATCCAGAGTTAGTGGATTTGAAACTCTGTGTAAAAACCCACTTTGCCTACTTTCAATGTAGCTTTTTGTATTCCTCCTCCCACCCAGAATGGTCCCAGCTAATCAGAAGAGGAGGCATAATATCATTATATCCAGACAGACTGTGAAAAAACTGCTTTTACTTTCACAATTTTGATGTCCAGTCTGCTTGGCGGAAAGTTGTCAGCTTGGCTGAAAAACTGCATGCATACTTTATGTACCAATGCCAGGATTGAGCTCAGTCTTCATCTACATCTGGTTTCATTTGTTAGTCCACCATGGCTGAAAAATGCTGTAAAATCAACCAAGTCATTAGATTTGTAGCACAAGCTGTCTGGGAGGGGGTGACATTAGGTCCTGGCTGTGCAGATGTCCAGATGTCTCAATGCATATAATTATTAGTTAGAGATGTTCCTGTATATGGCCACACTTAGGAACTAGTTACACCTATGAGTTTTGGTTAATTGGCAACCCACCAAACACAAGTTAGCATATTGCAGTGCCATTTATTTTCAATGGCAACACACTAAGGCAACACACTAAGGCAACACACTAAGGCAACACAACTCTAATACACATGTGCTGCAGCACACAATGGTGCACAATAACACACTACAGTGCATTGTAGTGCAATACATCAGATAACATGGTGCTCATCCATTTTTTGGTATTTGGTGCACTGGAACCACAATAGACCACCTGGGTGTGAATGGACCATTAGGGCAATGTCAGGTGGCAGATTCTGAGCTTGATGACACAATGCCAGCACCTGTAGCACCAAAGGGAGGCAGCCAATTAGCCTTGCTGCCCTAGCCAGCGAATAAATAGGCATCCATGTCTTGCTGGGATGCCAGTAAGGGAGTGACTCAATATGAAAAGGTACTGTATGTGACCTGTTAGCAATGATGTTACAGAATTACTTTTCTGACAGTAGGCTGGAACCAGAGAAGCCTTCACTGCATCATCAGACAGGTAAACGAAGATGGTGTTAAAAGTTTTCAGCAACAGAAAGATAATGCAAGCTCCATGGTCCTTATTACAGAAAATGATTCATGCATTTAAAATACTAAGTACAGCATTTACCTAAAGCATATATAGTCTGATGAGACAATACATGTATGTTTTCTGCCATATAGTCCATCAGCCTGTTTAAAGAATTCCTATGAATCCTCATTCCCCTGATGCAGTTGATATGCTTGAGATAAAACTTCCAACATCCCAGAATTGTCCTTCGGTTTACAGCAATTACTTTTTCTTTCATCTTTGGAGACACACATGCCCATCTGGAGGTAAGTTGGTGGATTGCAGAGTTCCTTGAGTAAAGCCTGTGACATAATTCTATTTACAGGTGAACTTCCCCTTTCTCTCGCTGCCTGCACTAACCAGCCTGATATTGTCGACTATCTCCTAAACAATCCATATCAAAAGGCTGACTTAAAAGCCGGAGATAGTCATGGGAACACAGTCCTGCATGCTCTGGTTTATGTGGCTGATAACACAGAGAAGAACACTAAGATAATCACTGAAATGTATGATGACATTCTGAAGAAATCCATAACAATTGATCCAGAGATGGGCCTGGAGGAAATTGCCAACTGCGAAGGTTTAACACCACTAAAGCTGGCAGCAAAAACTGGTAAAATTGAGGTAAGTGGAAAAGAAACCTTTGTAAGCTGTATACATTAGCAGCGCCATTCATTAAAAGGAATAAAGTTTATCACGTGCTTGCCCATGCTGAGGCCTGCTCTTGGGATGGACAGGTGCTGTGTGTAATTGTTTGCAGTCTCCTGTACCTCCCTATGGAAGAACATAGCTATATGCCAACCTAAACCTGCACATCCATGCAGGTCTGGGTGCCGGCACTTGGATGCAGAAAGGATGCATCCAAGTGCAGGCACCTGGGCCTAAATGGATGTGCAGGTTTGCGTCACCATGTAGCCATATGGGCCATGTAAATGAGCCCTTAAACAAATCTTAGTTTTTTAAATGTATTTTTCCATCATTTTCACCTGGTGATCTGGCCAGTAAGTTTTTTAAATATTTAACTTCCTGAATTAGACCAATCAAGCCAAAGTGGCAGGTAGAGGATTAAAACAAACCATTTAACACTTACAGGGTACTCACAATGGTCAGCTTTTATTCATTTGTGGCTCCATTGCTCATTTATAGGAAGGAGTTACAATAAGACAGGAAGTGTGTTCCTGGACAGATTACCATGTGAAAATAAAGTAACAAAGCCTTTAAAATAGAAAAGGAATGCAGCCACAGCATTTAAGGCTTGCTTAACTACAATATATTAATTTTTGTTTTTTGAAACTCTTTAAGCTAGACTGCTTGGTCGACTGCTCAGCTTCATGTGGTTATTTATCTAATAAACAACAAGAATAATTGATTATCATGCATCAACTCTTCTGGTAGCACTTTATACTTTGAATTATCTGTAATAATTCTGAGCAGCTTAAAAGCCAACTCCTGCCAAAACATATTTTTTTATTTATTTTCCATATGGCAATGGAGGGTAAAGTTGTTATTGTTCTCACTGTCCCAGTTGGTGGGATTTTCCCTCACTTCCTGGTCCAGCAAGATATTATAACATTCTGAGAAATAGAGTACCACCCAGACAGGAAGTTAGAGGATTCCCCCTTAACTGTAGACAGAAATGGCAACTAATACTGAAATAAGCTCTACGCTTCCCTGTTTTGCTGCTTGTGTCTCATTTGCAGTTATTTCCATTCAAATTCTAAAGCAATGGCAGGAACAAAAGAGGTCCCCTGTAGCATTCACTGCTCTAAGGTACAAGTCCTGCATGTGTGCAACTGGGGAATGTTTGCCTAAATTGAGGTCATGAATATAATTGGCTCCATGAGGGTGTCATAGTGAAAGCATGTAATTAAAAAAAAATCCAAATTAAATCCTTCACCAGCCTGTAGCACCCAATTCAAATTTCAATGGCCATGAGATCCTTTTACAAAACTTGTAAAATGCAGACCCCAAATGCATATTTTTCCCCTTTGATTTGTTGCAGTTTATCCCTCTACTCATATTCTTTTCCCATTTCAACTAAATGTACATTTACTATGTATTGTCCAAGGGGAAAAGAGGTAACTAAGCTGTATTTCTTAGCAGTAGAGGAAGGTCGGGATGACCAACCTGCCTGTGCTATCTGTCATGGCTGGCTGTACAGAATTACAATCATGTGGCAGTTAAAATGACTCCCATATATGTAATACAACAGTGTATTTACTCATTGCCTGGAGTTTGACTTTCAAAAAACTTTCCTTGCTGCCCATGCCATATCTCCCTCAAGCCTTTGACATTGCTGTTGTTACTGGTCTCACGTTTCTTTAATAGTGGTAGAAAAATAATGGTCAATTAGCATAAAAAATGATGTTTCAGAGGGTAATTTAACAAAATTAGTTCCTAAAACATGTCAGACGTCTGAGGATAAAATAAAGGACATTTAGGTAATGTCCAGCTAATCTGAATATCTCAGTGTCTCCAATGTTTCAGTGAAGGACAATAGGAACATGTTGTTTATGAGTGTTAAAGACTACTGCGTGCAAGAAAAAGCTGGCCTAAAATATTTATTTTCGTTTTCAGGCCTCCCTGTCCATCATTTGCTCGTCACTGGTGAGGCATCGAGATCGATGTCCTCACTGTTTTTTTTTTTTTTCATTTTTTGATTGGACAGCTGGGACCAATGGCGCTTTGCCATTGGTCCAAGCCATCCACAGATCACGTTTCTAACACAGAGTAGAGGCTGTGACAGCTCTTGCCTCACCAAGTTAAGTTACACAAGCAGTGGGGAAGCCCGCTGCTGTGTAACCTAACTACCTGTCAAAAGCTGGATGCAGTGCTGCCTGTAATTAACAGACAGCGCTCCGTCCATGACAGGTTACACAGTTTGGAGGCTTTACCTGCTGTGTAACCTGAAACAAGCCGATCTGGATGGAGAAAAAGCTGTCAGCTTCATAATACTAGGTGAGGCTCTGCCTCACCTGCCTCCCCTGATCGCACGTCCCTGATACAAAGGCTGGTAGCAGCTGGGAAGACCACACAATGAAGAATTCGAAGCGGGATAAAGGTAAGTATTATAGTGTATGATCTGCACTGAGGGGGTTGGGAGGTAAAGCCTGTAGGGGTAGGCCTTGAGCTGTAGTTAGAGTTTAAACTGCCCTTGACGTGCAAATAATGCTGTCCTTTTGGCATACATTATTGGTATAATTGCAAAAATAGAACCAGATTGTGTGATTAAAGAAAGTGGTATGCATTGAACTGCTTGGTGTTACTCGTTTTACTAGTAAGTAAAAATATTTTGCTTTGATGCCACTATCCTTTGACCATAAGCACCTTCTAGTAAATACAGTCCTGGTCAGGTTCTTGCAAGGGATTTAGGGCCCCAGGAAGTTTTGGATCAGAGACTCAGAACACTTTTTCATAGCAGACTAGGGAAGAAAAGACCCTTTTATCAGGTTTTTATTGCTGTCCCCATTGCAAACCTCAGTTCCTATCCAGTTTTCCTGTCCAGTATGACAGAAAGCGAGGAACTCTTCTGCTTGGGGACATATGCAACATTAAAATTCCGCCAGAGATTCTTACCTCACCTCATTGTACACAAAACTAAAAATAACATTTGGTTGCACATGCACCGGGGAACAAAGGTATGAAATATCCTCACATTTGTTGAGCAGTCATCCTCCAAAACACAATGTTTAGTAGAAGTCTCCGTTCTCGTGAATGTATGTTGTTGTTTATGTGAAACTTATCAGATGTCTGTCTTTCAGTTGTTCAAACACATACTGCGGAGGGAGATTACAGAGCCAGGTTATACACATCTGTCTCGGAAGTTCACGGAATGGACATATGGCCCAGTGCACATTTCTCTATATGACATGTCAACTGTGGACTCATTTGAAGCTGACTCTGTCCTGGAAACGATTGTATTCAACAGTAACGCCAATGTAAGTGGATTAAATGGTTCCCAGACTATTTAAATGTGGCAGTATACAGATGGGAAACCCTGTAGAGCATATTGGAAAATATAGAAGTGTTGGATTTGTTTCATATCACCCAACTGGCCGGAGTCTGGCCACTATTAACTATTGTCCTAAATGTCCTGCGCTACTTTGCTAAGGAAAAGAATATGTGGAATTTAGCAGGGTTTGTAAATTGTCTGGTTCATTGTTGCCAGTAAATCTTTGGACAGGACTTACTCGACCAAGTGCGGCAAATTTAGATAGCAAGAACTAATGATCAGCCGGGTGGGATCTTTTCAGCTAGCTATTCCTGACATAAGGAAGACATTCAGGGTGTCACCCTGCTCCCTTCTTTCTTCATTAGTTGTAGTGCTCAGGCTGCCTGAAAATCTGATATTGTAGGTTTTTAGTAGATTTTGAACAGTTATAGCTAAGTCTGAGGAATTATTTCTGCTAGTTTTGTATATGGTGGGGAAAGTTTTTTATTACTGTTTGTGTCCTTGTTAGGGATATTTCCAATCAAACTCATGTCCTAGTGATAGGGGATACAGATTGTAGTATCATTTGGGAACAATTGGATGTTCCAAAGAATAAAATACACAAGTGAGTGATATAAACCACTAAACTCTACCTACAATTTTTTTGAGGCCTTCAATAATTATAAAATATATGCAAAGGCTACACAGGAACTCAATAAATAAACGATTCTTAATTCCACCCCCTCCACCACTCCACATATAAGTAAAAGAACCAGCAAGTCTTTATAATATGTCCTCCAACACTAAAATATTCACTAACTATGATTGGGCATTTTTAGTGCTATTTTAAAGAGGCCTGTTACCAGCTTAAATAATTGCAGGTAAAAGCACAGACATTTTAGTATTTTACATGCTTGCAGCAGTTTCCTTTACATGAACAATTGTATTATTGACTTGCAAGGTGCCTATGAACTTGCTAGTAATTTGACTATAGGAAGAGTCAGGTCCCTAGTACAACAGCAAAAAGTTTCCCAGCACACTCACCAGCCAGCATGCTAAAAAGCTTGTCTAACCGCTAAGGTTTTAAAACAGAGGTTTTAGATACACTTCTTCTGCAGAATATGTGAAAGCCGCACTGCCTCGTCAAGGCACCTCTTTGTAGTGCGGGTTTGCCAGGAGGCAGCCCAACCCCCTTTAAAGGCACAGGCACACACAAGGGACCCCGCACATCACAACGGCAGCTGAGACCCCCAATGCGTCACTGCACCAAATCAATCAAGCAAAACAAATGGCAAACGCACTCATCAACTTATCACCAGCTTTAAAGCAAAGTGCACATGGAAGGGCTTTAAACAATACAACAGCATAAAGTTTCCCAGCACACTCACCAGCCAGCAAGCAAAAAAGTCACTTAAAGGAGAACTATGGGGTTAAGGCTTTTCCCCATAGTTCTCCTTAGGGTAACGGGAGGACACAAACTAGCGTCCTCCCGTCACCCTAGGCTCTGTATACCGCGAGCTGTAGCTCGCGGTATACTGAGACGCCGCAGTATACCGCGAGCTGCTTGATTTAAAAAAAAAAGGAAAAATATTGCTTAGTGGTTGCCTTCACTTCTAATTGTCATCTAATGTCTATGACTCACTTAAAGCTGCTTAGGAGCCTTTGAAGAAAGTTGAGTTACCCGTTGACCTCTTTTAGCTGTTTCTGCCATATTGCTCTTCATGGCATAATTGCATCAAATTCAAATGATCTCACAGCCCAGAATGTTATTTGAGATGATGTGTAATTTGCTTATAAAAGTAGGTTTGAGCTATTACATCATCTGAAATAAGTACAAACCAATCAGAATAAAACCTGCAAATGTGAAGATGACTGATGCCGAGGAGTATGGAAATTTGATGAAAATGTGAATTTATTTGGTTGCTGTACAGCAATGCAAACCATTCTTTTTTTTTAGACATATCATATCATGGCCACGTAGTCCCATAGAGAAGGACAGGGGCTGCGTACTAATCACGCGCAGCACCTGTCCTTCCCTGGAGCTGCCCAATACGGCCGCGCACGCAGCACGGATCTGTATGTGCCCGCCGATTCCCGTGTGAAAGAAAATGGATGTAATCTAGGGATGTCCTGATACCATTTCTTTAAGACTAAGTACAAGTACTGAACTTTCCCTCAGGTACTTGCCGATAACCAATTACCGATACTTGTTCTTAAATAAACATGCAACATATTTTCTAAAAAAATACATTATGATTTTAGGGCGGTTCTTTATAATTATAAAGAACTGTATCTCAATCCATGATTATACTTGTCTTGATACAAAAAATAATTTTAATTTGAAACAAAACCATATTTAACCGTGCTAAAAAGCGCTTTTCATTGGTCAGCGTGGTCACCTGACTGCAATGAGCATGAGTGCTCGCAATTTGTGAGTTAAGTTTAAAATCCATGGTACAGGCCTGCACTGGACTGCAGTATGGGTTACAGATAGCACACCCGCGCCGGCGGAGGGGAAGGACCGTTCGCCAAAAGGTAAGTATAGCGGTGGGGGGGAGAGTTGGCCAGCTTTAAGTGGGTAATTCAATTTTTCCTAATTACTTAGGAAAGTGAACTTACCCTTTCATGTGCATTGTGCGTGTTAGAGAGTGCTGCTGCCCCACTACCACAATATGGCATACAGTGGAAACCTTTTTATCACCATTTTTATTTTTTTAATTTTAATTTGATTAGTTTGTATTTTTTATTTACGATTATATCAATTGTATTTTTGTTATATTTATTTTGTATGTTTGTATTTTTTATTTTTTTAAAAATCTGTTTTACCTTTTTATCACTTTTTTTAATTTTAATTTAATTTTGTTTTTTATCACTTTTTTTCACTTAACGTTATTGATATCACACAGGGGCTAATAATCCCCTATGCGATATAATTTGTAGATTAAAGGCTCTCTTTATGAGCCTGCCTTCCAATACAGAAGATTCAGCATGTTTGCTGTATCTTCTGTACAGCTCAGTTTGTGACAGCTGACACAGGAGTGCTGCGGGTACAGAGCTCCTGTGTCACTGATTACATCCTGAACTAGCAGTGCGAAGCTATTTAAAAACTTAAAGCACCAGTGTTATGTATCGGGACATTTTCACGACAGCAGCCGAAGGCAGGATCCCCTTCAAGCCTTCAAGTCTTGTCCTGCCTGATGAAGGGGATCCTGTGAGACCCCGAAATGTCGAATTGAGTACATCACGCTATGCTGCTCGTACGTCAATAAACAGACGTATTTGATTCACTATTTGGAGTGCCGGTGCCTCAATATATTCTACAGGCTATGGACCACTCCCTCATTTTTGGTGATTTAAGGAGGGAGGGGTTTGACAGAGGGAGGAGAAAGGGGTGAAGATTTTGATTCACAGAGTAGGCCGTTGGGTTTCCCTCACTGGTCTAAAATCCATGCTGTATCATGAACTGTAAATACCCCTTTGAGAGGAAATACCCCTGGGAACAGGAGAACTGAACAGCAGAAATTATCTTTTATTGGTATCTTTCGCAGCAGGGTTGGTAAGCTGGGCGTCCACTTTTGTAAACTAACTGATGAAGTCTACACTCATGGGCTCTGCCTGGGTTAATTGGACAAGAGATAACTAAAGTTTGTGTAAAGGGAACCAAAGAGAACCAGTCTATGGACTGTAGAGGTTGTTTTGGATGTAGAACGGCTCCATAGACTGAGCTTGTGTTAAAGGAGAACTATGGGGTTAGGGCTTTTCCCCATAGTTCTCCTTAGGGTAACGGGAGGACACAAACTAGCGTCCTCCCGTCACCCTAAGCTCAGTATACTGAGACGCTGCAGCTGAAGCGGATCCCGACAATTATGTCTGGATCCGCTCAGCTGCGTGAGTGACAGCTGGCTCTGCCTATCTAGAGGCAGAGCCAGCTGTACCCGTCCCCTCCCTCGTCCGTTCCGCCAGTCAGCGCTGGAGGATCGGAGCGGGGAGGGGGGAATCCAGCCCCTCTCCTGTCACGGCAGAGAGCCGTGACAGGATGGAGAAGTGAGCGAACGCCGGTATGTGTTCGCTTACTTCCCGATCTACTGAGCCGACCTGTGACAGTCTCATTGTCACAGGTCGGCTAGAACTAAGAGGTGATTGAAAAGCACTCACCTCATAGTTCTCCTTTAATGTATATTTAGTGGGTCACAGGAGGAGGTCTCAGGCTCTCTATGTATCAATCCCCATCTCAGCGCTTATATATGGAGCCACTGCCCGTGACACTTGTATGGCAGCTTTAAAGCTTTTCTGCCTCTTGTTTTATTACTCTTAAAGCAAATACAAGCCCTAACAATAAACTTCTCTTATTTGCTACATTTTAGTATGTTAAATATATAAGTTAAATAGTTTTATCTATCTTATCTGTGCAGTATGTATAAAAAAAACAACATATTGATCATGCCAGAAATCCAATGCTGTCCTGTGTCCTGTGCACTGTGCAGAGTTATCCAAACAATGCTACCAGCCCTGTGTAGCTCACTAGAGAACACCCCCAGTATGGTATGGAGATGAGAAGAGGGGGAGGTCTTGTCTTGTCCTAACACATTTTCCTTTCTAGGGTAACAATGCTGCTTCATCATAGATGCAGTACAGTAAGCATTGCCACCCTGGAACAGGAAGTGTGCTGCTGGCAGGATCAACAGGTGAAATGGAAAAAGTCTGAAAAAGAGAAAACTAGGCAGCACATCTAAGGACCAGTACTTTTCAGTGTATTACATTTATGTTCTTGAGTTTAGTTAAAGTTTAATTCTCAGTCACAGATATCCCTTTTTATCTGTATATGGTCTTACCATAAATCCTTCATCCGTCTTCCCTGAGCTCCCTGTGCAAAACATTACAACCCATTGATATTCCTAATCTTTCTCTCCAGAATCGATATGAAATGATAGTGTTGGAACCCATCAACCGTTTGCTGCAGGAAAAATGGGATTCTTTTGCTGGCAAGATTTTCTATCTGAAGTTTTTGTTCTATATGTTGTACATAATCATATTCACAGTGACAGCTTATAACAGGCCACTTGAAGGACAGGTAAGAATCAAGTCATTTTTTTACACATCCAAGAGAAAAGTTAAGGCAGGAGTGACCATTCTGCTAGATATGGGGGCCCTCACTTTTGGCATACAATTAGGGGCAATTTATAAACATCAATTAGGGGCATATTTATAAAACGGTGAATTCATCACATTGCTGTTGAATAATTCACTGTGTATTAAAACACATTCACCAAGAAAAGTCACCTACAGTGAGTGGTTAATGTCATATTCAGAACCTAATGCCCCTTAATGCACTCCAGCCTAAACATCTTTTTTTTTTTAGTTTTGGATAGCGTGTGGCAGGGTTAATTAGAACCTCTGTCAATTATTTTAAAATAGTCTGTGTCCATGTTTTTCCCCACCCCCTCAGTGGAAGCTATATACTGAAACTATTCTTGCTCTGGAGATCATGACTGTGCAGCCATGACTGGCACCCAACTGTGTTCAGATCCTACTGCACATGTGCAAAGCAACCCCTATTTATTAATTTGGCTCTGCCCATAATCTGGAAAGCTGGTGCCACTATGAGTCTACCACTGGGAGGGAAGATTTAAAGGACAACGTTATCAAATGTATGCAAGCAAATAAATAGCAAACAATAACTGTGCATTTAAACTTACATAAATAATTCAGAAGTTGTAACTGCAGAAATATTAGGATTGATTTACTGAGGGAGAAGAGGCGCTTCACTTTGCAAATGTTAGTAAATAAGATAAATCTAAGTTCAATTTGAATACGCAGTCATGCAAAGGAAATATTTTTAGAAATGGCTATTAGTAGGGATGCACCAATACCATTTTTCCAAGACCAAGTACAAATACGGTACTTTTCCTCAGGTACTCGCCAATACCAATACCAATACCGATACTTTTATTATTATTATTTTAGGTCAGTTTCTTTATAATTATGAAGAACTGTAACTCAATCCATGAATATACTTGTCCTGTCCAATGAATCGTATTGATTATACTTGGCCTGTCCAATGAATCGCTTTTCATTGGTCAGCGCGGTCACTTGACTGCACTGACCAATGAGTATACGCAATTTGCGAGTGAAAATAAAAATCCATCCACTGCGCTGGATGGCAGTATGCGCCAATAAAAATCCATTCCCTGCGCTGAACTCCTTGCTCCTCCCTTGAACTTCCTATTTAAGCCGTGCCTCAGATTATTGTGCTCCTGCCAATATCTTGCTTACTGCTCCTTCTGTGATACAATCCGCTCATACTGCTACCCGTGTACCGACCTTTGGCTGCTGATTCACCGACTACTCTCATCGTCTTCTGCTTCATACCTGATACCTTTGGCTACCGACCTCGGCTTGATCTCTGGCTACGCTTCTGCCTGCTCCTATACTACTACCATCTGCTTGTGTACCGAACCCGGTCTGTTTGACTACGACTTTGCCTGCTGTTTCGGCTACTGGACTCCGAACCTGATCCAGATCGTGACACTTTCTTACCTTTTTATCACTTTTTATTTTATTATTTTGTTGGGATGCACCAATACCAATTTTTCGGTTTCGAGTACCGATATTTTTTTTAGTACTCGCCGATACCAAACACCGATACCGCAAGTCCCATTAAGGAGGCCCCTGTGCGATATCATTCGAGATGACAGACTCTCTTTACGAGCCTGCCCTCCAATACAGAAGATACAGCACATGTGTGCCCTATCTTCTGTACAGCTCAGGTTGTGAAAGCTGACACAGGAGCACTGCGAATACAGCTCTCCTTTGTAACTGATTACAGAGCCGAGCGGATGCATCTCAGCAGCAAAATTTGAACATACCAGGGATGTGCAGTCAGGGGAGTGCAGTATTATGGAGGAAAAAGCTGTCAGCTTCAAGTCTGTAGCTCCGTGTTAATTACAGGAGGTGCTGCATCCGGCTTTTGACGGCTAAGTTAGGTTACACAGCAGCAGGCTTCCCCACTGCTTTGTGTAACCTAACATAGTGAGGCCAGAGCTGCAACTGCCTCTACTTTGTGTTAGAGGCTTGATCTCTGTGGATGGTTTGGACCAACGGCAAAGCACCAAACACTGAGGACATCGATCTCGATGCCTCACCAGTGAAGAACAAGTGGGGGACAGGGAGGCTCCTCCATGTCTCCCTCCCTCCTCCACACATAGTTCGGTGACCGGGTTGGGGGGTGGGGCATCACCGGGCTGGGGGCAGGGCTGGGCGAGCAGAGGGAATGCCTGAAATAGCACGGCCCCTACTGCACGTCACTGGAACATACATTTATATACTGTATATTAGCACCGAGGAGACTTTAATATCTATATGCATGTGCCATTTTACGTGCACTTATATGTGCTTTTAATGTTTTATATTTTCATATTTGTACATTTTAATACTTTTTTGTGCTTTATGCAAAGTGCAACAAAATGATGAATAGAAATCTTCCAAGGTGCAGATGTGGTAGAAGTGTAGTGTTAGCAAGGTTTATGTTTAGGTTTATAGATGTAAACTGTTTATAATGACAATTACTTTCTTTTCAATGTGATGGATAGTTCCTCTCATATTTAACACATTCTATTAATTTTTAAAGCCCCCATTCCCCCTGGAAGGGACACACAAAGACAACCTGCGTGTACTTGGAGAAGTCATCATCATGTTTGGTGGACTTTATATACTAATATGTCAGGTTTGTACAATAAAATTACTTTGATTGAAATATTTATTGCTTTACATTAAGCCTGTGACAATTGATGTGTTATAAAGAACAGTCCAGTCCTTATCTAAGTTTGCAGCCTTTCTTATAACATAACTATACTTTTAAAGCATTAGTCCTTTTAACATATCCAGGGACACCAAGCAACTTGGCTCATATACCCATCATCTCTGCCTGTTGCCCTGTGATTTGACAGGCCCAGGTCAGGGTAACGATTGCTTTGTTTACACTCAGTGCAGTGCAGACTGCAGGCAGGGTGAGCGTAAACCAAGCAATGCCTACACTGGCCAGGGTTTGTAATGAGAGTTTTTAAAAGAGGAAAAGAAAAAGCCGATTACAAGCAATGTTCTCTTTCTAATAATTTAGTTTAAGAGGAACTTTACCCATATATTTAAAATAACAACAAACATTTGGAAATGCTTAGTAATCACAATCTACAAACAGATTGTCAGGAACAGCTGTGGACGCACACCATGAGAGTAGTGACGAGTTGTTTCACTTATAGCAGCCGCTGTTCTGAAGACGGACAGGATTTCCAGAGACAAGATGCACAGAGACCAAGCACGGCTAGTGTAGTAAGAACTATCACATGGGAACAGTCTGATGATGATTAAATAGGGCGCCACCAGCAACAAGGCCAATCCCAGAGCAGGAGGTGTGTGGTCAGATTCATTAAGCTACAGCTGACAGGGCTAGTGCTGCAGCCAGCAAGACACCGGATAATTAACCAGTCAGGGCTGCAGCCAGCAATACAGGCTCCTTGAACTACACAGGCTGCCTGACACAGTTACTTCAAGATAATTGCAGGCTTTGTATTCTTTGCATACCTTATTTCTCTTTTCTTTCCCAGTGGTCATTTTAACTAAGGGCAGGTTGCTAGATCTCCCTTTACTTCCTGTAACTCTGACATATGTGACTAGAACATGTGACCAGGGCCGCCGTCAGGGGGGTACAGCCGTTATTGATGTAAGGGGCCCGGTCAGGCTTATGGGCCCGGCCCGGGCACCTTACATGAGTATCGGCCGTTCAAGTAACAGGCCAGGATGTGGCCGGGCACACCGCAGCACCGGAGGAGGCCGGGGCCCGCACGCTCCAGACCCTCAATTTTGGGCTGGGCAGGAGGGGGCGGGGCGGGCCATTGAAGTGAATGGCGCTATAGCCACGCCCTCCGGCCGCAATTTGATCGCCTGCACAGGATCGCAGGGCACATTCTGCCTGCAGTGCGTTCCGGTGTTGTGCGGTCAAAATGCTGCAAGCACTATTTTGACCGCATCGGGACGCAGGCACAATGTGTCCTGCGATCTCGTGTGGGCGATTGCATTGTGGCCGGAGGGCGTGGCTATGGCACCATTCACTACAATGGCCCGCCACTCCCCCTCCTACCCGGCAAAAATTGAGCCGGCCGCAATGTGATGCAGTGTGTTCTGGCCGGAATCGGGCTGGGACGCACTGCAAGTGGTGTGGACAACCCCTTAGAGCCAAAAGAAGAAGCTGGTGAAGCAGATCTCTGCTTCATCAGCTTCTTTGGGGTCGCTAGGTGACATTAGGGGTATGAAAAACCCCTGACGTCTCCATGAAGAGGACCTGTCACATATGTGCTATTACATAAGGGGCTTTTTAGCCCGCTACTTGATAGCAATAAAGCTGAGTGTAAAAAAAGGTAAAAATGAAAGTAACATAAAAAAAAATGTAAAATGCAAAAAAATATGTTTTGTAAGTTTCCCCTTTCCCCACGTGCACGCACATAGAACACAAACCCGGGTCAGATGCGCCTACATGCAAAACCAAAAATTACGCCACACATGTTATGTATCGTCGCGAGCGTCGGAGTGAGAGCAATAATTCCCGGCCCATCAATCACTGATAGCACTAAACTGATGAGCAGTAAAAGCATTTAAAGCGTCGCTTATGGAAAATTTTGGTTATTGTAGTTTGTGGAGGTTTCATGGATACTTGACATGTTTGGTATCTGTTTGCCCCGCATGACCCCGTCTTTTATATTGTACCAAAAAATTAGCCATTATATTCTGATTCTGTGCACTAAATTTCATTTTAGCGTATTTTATCCTAAAAATACTGGTTTGATAAACATTTGCGCAAATACCGTGCGACATACAAAATTGCAACTAGCATCTTTTTACTCTACAGGGCCTCTGCTTTCAGAGAATATATCACTGTTTTCTACCCCAAAATTCATATTTTATCATGTGTGTGCAAATGTAAGAAATTGCTCCGGGCAGCAAGTGGTTAATGAGTGTATAAATATTTGAATGTGTGTGTTTCCCTATTTTGTCGGAGGCGGTGATGATGCTGAACATTTTTTAAAGGAGAACTATGGGGTCAGTGTTTTTCCCCATAGTTCTCCTTAGGGTAACGGGAGGACACAAACTAGCGTCCTCCCGTTACCCTAAGCTCAGTATACCGCGAGCTACAGCTCGCGGTATACTGAGACGCCGCAGCCGGAGCGGATCCCGACATGGACGTCGAGATCCGCCCAGCTGCATGAGTGACAGCTGGCTCTGCCTATCTAGAGGCAGAGCCAGCTGTACTCGCCCCCTCCCCCGTCCGTTCCTCCAGTGTTCGCTCACCTCCCTATCTACTGAGCCGACCTGTGACAGTCTCATTGTCACAGGTCGGCTAGAACTATGAGGTGAGTGGAAATCACTCATCTCATAGTTCTCCTTTAAACCCGAGCGCCCGAACTGCAACGCAATACTAAAGTTATTTTCAGAGTTGGCACTTTGAGATAAATATATTGATTTTGCATCGCAGTTTGGACACTCGGATTCAAAAACATTCGCCATCACTATACTAATCTGACAGCGACGCAGAGGAATGCCCGGAGGTAGCGGGCGATCACGTCACTTTGGCAGAGGAGGCCAGGCACCAGCAGCAGGAGCAGGTAAAAGGAGCTGGGAGGGAGATGCAGCTCCAACTAGCCCACCTGGGACCACTGCAGAGCCCACCATAGAGAGTCTCAGATGGGCTGTGTAGCATGTATGGTGTGCTCTGCAGGGTTACTTTCAGGTGGGGTCTCAGGTGGGTCCTGTGTCCAGCACATTACTAAGCCCGGAGTTCGGCGCGCAACTAAGCCCAGAGTCCGCCTCGTAACTAAGCCCAGAGTCCGCCTAGTAACTAAGCTCGGAGTCCGGCGCGCAACTGAGCCCAGAGTCCAATTCATATATTGGACTGTTCTGCATTGCTGTATAAATGTATTGCTGGGATTTGTAGTCCCCCTACAAGCGGTGATGCCCTGCATGTGACCATGCACATCATCTCAGGGGAGGAAATGCCATTCCCTGAGATTTCATGAGATTACAGATTACATGACATTCCCAGCAATGCACTGCTGATGTAACCTTCCCAACCTTGGTTTGGGCACATTACATCATTTGTGCCAAAACTGGACCAGGAAGTAGACAAACTGTATTTGTAAGTAAATGAAAAAGAAGCTTGTTTAACTAAGGAAAGTTATATGATTTTAAATCAGCATGCTGAGCTGCATGCTGATGTGCTTTTTAGTGAAATTGGCTAAAGGTCCACTTGCTTCAATGTTTACAATGTTATTCAATGGATTACAATCTTCTTATGCTTTGCAGATAATATATTTTTTGAAGAGACGTCCTTCTTTACAAACTTTAATAATGGATGGGTACTTTGAAGTCCTCTTGTAAGTTCTACATTTATTTATTTGGGGCTATCATTTTGGTCACGATTATTATTTGTTAGTTTGTATAAAATATAACAAGCACAAAAATAAATAAATACATACTAACAATAAGGGGCACATTTATAAAGAAGTGAAAGTGAGTTTCACTAAGGGGTCTATTCACGAAGCTGCCGAAGGATCTGGCCGTAGCTTTGGCCGATCCTTTGGCTAGCTTTGGCCCCAGGACCCCTTCAGTTCAGTAGAACCAAAGGGGTGCTATACGGGCTATTCACAATAGCCCGTACAGCTCCCGATCATGGCCGAGCGGCTTAGCCGAGCCAAACGCATATGCATCGGCTTGGCTGAGCCATGCTGAAATCCGAAGCTGGCCGAGCGGCCGGCCATTGGCCGGCCGACAGCCTGCTTCTGACAGCTGGGCGGAGCCAGCCGTGATCTTACGGCTGGCCACTTTCAGAGAGATCCGCGTCCCTGGTTACCTGCTAACCAGGGACACTGATCTCCAAACAGCTAACTCTGCCTGGCGCCCCGGGAGTCTCCCGCTCCCGGCCGCCAAGGAGAGAAGCACTGCTGTGTCTTTTTTTCTTTATTCTGACACGAGCAATGTCAGAATAGAAAAGAAAAAAAAAAAAGAATTTTCCCATTGAAAAGCATTGGGACATTACTATTGGCTATTTCAATTTGCAATAGCCAATAGTAAACTAGCATTGTACCCACCCTCTGCTGCAGTTCCCCATCAGGTCCATCAGCAAATTGGCAACTCATGAAAATAGTTAACAAATATTTTTATGATGTACCATTTTCTTTTTCGTAACTTAGAAGATTTGTTCATTTTCTCAGTTTTCTGCAGGCCGTTATTGTCCTGAGCAGTGGTGTTGTCTACCTGGCAGGCAGTGAAGTCTATGTTGCCCTGTTGGTGTTTGCGCTGGTTCTTGGCTGGGTGAATTTGCTGTATTACACTCGAGCATTCCAGCAGACCGGAATTTACAGTGTTATGATTCAGAAGGTCAGTCCTTGGACATGTTTTTCTCTTTAATCTTCATGTGTTCCCTTTTTTAGCAAACATCATTGTAGCATAACTGTAGATGCTAAAAAATAGAGACCTGTCTCTTTGCTAATACACTTAGATGACACTATACAGAGGGGTCCGAGATAAAGGAACAACTACAGATTTAGCCAAACAAACCCAATGTACAGTTGCATGACCTTGCTGTAAATATGTGCAAATACATTATATAACGAAATATTGGTGGACGACCATCACACCTACTAGTCTGTATGCCAAAGTTCAAGTCTTTCCAATGAAAAGTACCATTAAGGCTATGAAATACAAAGACATTTTAGATGATTGTGCACCTCCCCCTCTAAGGCCACAGTTTGGGGGAAGGCTTCTTTGTGTTCCAGTATGCCTTTGGCCCTGTGTACAAAGCCAGGTTCATAAAGGTTAGGGAGTTGTTTTATAAATTGTTCGCATAGTGAACAGCTCTGCCAATGAGATTTGCAGCGCATTATGGTCACTAGATGTTAGGAGCATAGAATTTTTTTTAGTTACTATACTAAAAATAATAAAACATTTAATTTCTTGCTTTCCTTCTTTAAAATAGTGAAAATTAAACAAAATACAGACATAGCTAAAATGGTCAATGATTTGTATACTTTATATATGTATCATTATGCATGATATTAAATTATTTCTGAATCCCTGTTTACTGTTGGTGAATGCTATTAAGTATCATAATACTTTACATGGTTCCAAAAGAATAAGATTCCAATTTCATACACATCAGTGTAATAAGCTTATACGTTTTTACAAAGCACATTATTTGAATAGTTTTGGTATTTCAAACATTTCAAAAACAGAATCATTTACAATTTGCAGTTTGTCTGCCCTCTGGTGGAAACTACATACAATTCTAATTCTACCGTATGTTACTTTTAGCAGGAAAAAAGATAACAAGATCGTAACATACAGCAGAATAAGACTTGTATGTAGGTTCCACCAGAGGGCAGACAAACTGTGGAGAATGTAAATGATTGTGTATTGAAATGTTTGAAATTCAAAAGCTAGATAACAAGAAAACTCAGACCTGGGAATATCTGGTGTACATAAATAAAATTATTGCTTTCAGCATTCTGGAATTCAGTGTCAACCTGTCCCTCTGGTTGTGGCAGAAGCTGCACCACCAGAGGGCAGCTTCTGGCTCCTTTGGCAGCTTTGGCATGAGTGTCCAGCATAAAGCACTCTCCAGTGCTGAAAAACAAAGCTGGTGATTGGTATAGTAAAGGGATTCTTACTTGGGATTCCCTCTCTATGGGTACACCAGCATGTATGCCTGGTGCCCTAAGCTGATCCCTAGGTGGCAGTTTTCTAAAATGTTTTTAAAAATTGTTTTAGAAATATGTATACATATAAATAAATAAAACATTGTAATCACAAATGCCAAGAAATGCTTGCAATGTGGTGAAAAAGAATAATACAAATATTATCATTGTTTTACAGACCATCCTGCGTGATATGCTTCGCTTCCTCTTAGTTTACCTAGTCTTCCTCTTTGGGTTTGCTGCAGGTATTTATTATATACTGGGAAGTTCTATCTATAAATACATTCACAGAATATTTGTAAGGAAACGATCATACGTTAATGTCAGTTCTTTATTCTTTAAAGGGGAATGCCTTGCAATTTATTTCTTACTGCTTATTAACCAGTAGATGTCACTCTTGGTCTGTGTAGTCTAGGGCAAGGCACATGTATAAATTAATAAAAAAAAATATATGTTCTTAGCTTTCCCAACTCTATCTAGAACAAAAAAAATGTTTTGGCTGGTGTTGACTTTTAAGGAACTCAAGTTGGAACTTTCTGTGACAAAAATACTTCTGTATATGGAGTCCCCATGTTTACAATAAGAACCTGTGGAAATAAAAAAAACAAGAAAAACAAACAAACCAAGGCCTGTGGCTGGCAATTTCCTTGTCTCAGTTTATTGTAAATGGTCATGGTCAGGTTACTATTTTAGTTCAAGTGTATCTAAAGCCCAAACTGTTTTGTTTAGATTTGGATAGAGTTGTGAGGGGTTAGGACCCCTGACAGGTTTTTATGTCTGCCTACCTCTTTCTATTTGACCAATGCCAGCAGGACATAAACGAGGGAAAATTACAGCCCCTCCCATACATACAAAAGCAATTTGAAATACAATTTTAAAAAAAACACCTTTCCTTGGCCCAGGTTCCCAGTGATTCTGACATGTCTCCTGGAAAACCTGCCAATTGCATAGGGAGGGTAGGGGCTATCAGTAGAAATGTAAATTATGTGCAAGTCTTGAGTGCTTTGCACAACACAGAGGTTATGGCTTTCGGCTTTGTGTATGTGTGTACGCCATAGCCTCCAGTGAATAGCTCAGAGGTGAGGGGTGTTGCTAAAGAAGAAGAGGTATGGAATCAGTGGGTTCCTGCGCCAGTATGAATGTGAATGTGCAGGCAGACCGTGCATCTATACGTCTTGTAGTTCTAAACAGGGGCATACCCTAATGCAGTACAACATAGTGAGTGAGAATGACCCTATGACAGGAAGTCCTACAGACCTACAGTCCCTACATGGGTGTAACTATAGCCATAGCAGAGTATGTGACTGCTATGGTGCCCAGAAGCACAGGGTGCCCAAAGCTATGTGGCTCCATAGTGATTTTTGCAGGTGAAATAACATTTCAGGAATACAGCACATTTAGATGAAATTTATGTAGATTAAGTTTGGAAGCCTCTATGGAACAGCTATGAAAAAAAATAATCTGTATCACTAGAGGAATTGTCTTTGGTATGAAAATTAAAGCAATAGACGTCCCATAATGATGTTAAGGTCATGCTACAGAGGGCTATTTCTGGCAGGATTACCATTGTAGGCAATTAAAGATGCAATTACAAAAAGCGCACAACAGGTTTAATAATTATGAAGCATGCATATAGTAGATTTTGCATGTTGGGTTTAGTTACACTTAAGTCCTACATCTAATTCTGAACCAGAGGGGAAGGAGGTCTTCAGATGTAATCTTTACCAAAGGCCTAATTGTGCATGTTCTGTCTCCTCTACCCTTGGCCTGTGTATAGTTCGCCATGCAGCTCCTCCTATTCGGCAATAAGCCAGACTGGATGAAATCTTGAAGCTTTATTAACAAAACAGAGTGGGTGAAACTGATAAATAGGAAGATGAAACCATACAATCAATATATGAACGTGTAAATAGACTAATAGCTCACATAAAGAGAAACAAGTTCGTCCCCACCAGCGATGTTGCCGTATGGGGAGTCTGGACATTTACTCCAGACGTACTCAGGATGGCATCAGATTCTCTTCTCCTCTGTTCTAAAATGGAGTGTGAGTCCCAGAATGCACTTGTTCCTTTCTTCATGGGCTGGAGGTGGCTGGGAACTTATTTTTAAAGGAAAGGTAGTCTAAAAAGGCAGGTAGGCAAGGCAATAAATCTAATGCCTGGGGGGCAGAACAGTGCATGCTTTCACTGTTAAATATTTAACATGTTTGTATAATTTTAAATGTATATGAAATAAGATTTATACATGTATTTTTTGCAGCTTTGGTAACACTTATTGGGGAAGCTCCTCAGAAGGCAGAGAATAGCACTAATGCTAGACCAAGAGAGGCAGGAAACTCATATTCAGGTCTTTACTTTGCTATTCTGGAGCTCTTCAAGTTTACTATTGGCATGGGAGACCTGGAGTTCAATGAAAACCTGAAGTTTAAGCACTTTTTCATGTTCCTGCTGATCTTGTATGTGATTTTTACCTACATTCTCCTCCTGAACATGCTCATTGCTTTAATGAGTGAAACGGTAAATGAAGTCTCTAAAGAAAGCAAGAGTGTATGGAAACTACAGGTGGGTTGATTTCAAACACAGCTATATATTTACTTATCATCAATTACAGTCACTTAATATGATACAGTAATATAGTTCATAATTCTAAACTTTCGAAACTAACCTACAATAACTATTGTCTGCTTCCATTCTGACTGTCTTTTATATCACTTCTGCCTTTGGTAGTTCCCTCTGAGGTGGGAGGGAACTTGGTGCAACCTACAGAGGGAAAAAGGGGTGTCAACATTTATCCTTCCACCATCTTGCAGCCTTTGTGGTTTCTCTGTACAGACAACCACTTAGCAAGTCTGCACAGCCCGGGGTGCCTGACTAACATAGTGCACCACAGGATGACTACAAAATGTTAGAGCAGAAGGCACAGAGCCTAACTGCATTCATGAGCATTAGCCAGAAAACAGAATTTCAGGAACAGGGTGCAATGGGAAAGGGGGGGGGGGGGGGGAAGGAGATTTTCAGTGGTAAATATACTTGGTCAGTAGATGAATTTATGATGAATGTACTCAGCTGTTTAGTTAATGTGATTGTTTCCTGTAAGCAAACACATCATATCAGTACCGTTTTTCAGATAATCACATGACTGTTTTTAGGAGAATTAAATGAGAATGAAATGCATGTTTTCCTGTAATTGCATTTTGTTTTCTTTTTAGTCTTTTCTGTAATCTTCAATTTTGATGCCATAAAATCCCTGCTACACATCTATGGTTATAGCCAGCCCTACAGCATTTATCCACTTGAACCCTGAGGTGTTAAAACCCCTTCCTGTCCAGGCCATTTTTCAGTATTCAGCGCTGCGGTACTTTGACTGACATTTATTCCGTCATGCAACGCTGCACTGAAATGCATTTTATGCCATTTTTTGGTGACAGGTAGGGCTTTCTTTTGGTGGTATTTAATCACCACTGGGGCATTTATTTTTGACTATATTAACAAACAAATTACATTTTAAAAAAACATAGTTTTCCCATTATATTATGACATATTTATTACCCACATTTTTGGTAAAATATAAAAGGCGGGGTCACGTTAAAGAGACACCAAACATGTCAAGCTTTAAAATTGTCTGTTCCCACGAAATCGCAAAACACTACAATACCCAAAATTGTCCTAAAGTGACGCTTTAAAAGCTTTTACCACGCATCAGTTTAGTGTTAACAGTGATTAATGGCCTTAAAATCATTGCTCACCCTCCGACGTACGTGGTGATGTGTAACATGTGCAGCGCAATCGTAATTTTCGCACGTAGGCACACCCGACGCATGTTTGCGTGCGTATGTTATTGCTCACCCTCCGACGTGGTGATGTGGGCGCGGGGGACTTTTTGTATGCAACTTTCATTTTTTTTCCACTTAACTTCATTGCTATCACATAGGGGGGCTAAGAAGTAGCCAATTTACAGTGTCAGGTCCTCTTTATGGAGACATCAGGGGTCTTTAAGACCCCTAATGTCACCGAAGGGATCCCCAAAGAAGCTGATGAAGCAGATAACTGCTTCACCAGCTTTTTTCCAGCTTCTATAGCAGGAGAATGACAGCTGAATGCGGACGTGATGTAATAAACATCACTTCCACACTGACAACAGAGATCAGATGGAGATCTAGTGCTGATCTCCTCCAATATATCCGTTCACAGAGCTGCCACGGCAGTCCCGGGCCCGCACGGGGCACAGCAGAGCTTCGGATCGGACATGGATAATACAACATAATACAATACATCACTGGCTGTTTACAAAGCAAGCATTTTACCCACTCCTGTGTGTGCTGGGCGGCGTGCATGAGCGGGAACGGGTAAAGATGTTTAAGATGTTCCCACCCGCATCTAGGCATCCACAGTCCGGCCGTTGTAGTTAAATCTAAAGTGGTTATAGATAAGTGTGCTTATCTTTTTTCCCCTTTTACCTATAGTGCACCCTCCCTAGTTGCATGTTAGCCCTTATCCTATTAAGGGCCCTGCAATGTTTTCACAATTTGCAGTAAATCGTCTCTAGATCCTCATAGACCTCTAAGGGACTACCCCCCAAGAATCTCCGGGTAAAAGTCCCACATAAGTCTAATAGTATCTACAAGTCAGGCTCAGCCAGCACAGAGAAGATAGGTTGGTTTTTTTAGGCTTTGGAGGTGGCAAAAAGGATAAGGCACTCATTTAAAAATGTTCTTATCCTTTAAAGTACATGTTTTTAGTCATGGATAGAATAGGGAATGGTTAAAATCCCTGTCCAGGTTTTGTTTGCCATCTTTGTTGAATTCGGGAGCTTTCCCTTCATTTCTGTTCAGTAGACTCAACAGGAAGTGAAAGGAGATCTCTCCAAAGTGAGGGTAAGACAGTTCTAATTGGAGCAAGTGCCCCTATGGAAAAATGTCCTCTCTATTACTGGTCTGGTGGTAACTCACAAGTTTGGATTTTCCCTAACATTCAATTCTGATCACTGTGGTCAGCAGGACAGATAGGTTGAATCTAACCAGCTGAAACTGCATAAAAAAAAAAAAAAACCGGAGAATTTCGGTTCAAGGACATGTTGTCCAAAGGGGAGAAAGCAGAATAAATATATTTATTGAATTATTTATTACAGGTATCTATATAGCACCCACAATTTACACGCTTTACACAGTATACATTCACACCATTCCCTGCCCTCGAGGAGATTACAATCATCTACATATAAACAAGGAGTGAGTAATAGAGATGTTGAGTCAGATATATGGGTGCATTGTTCACAAATCAGTTGATAAGATCTGTAAGATTTGATATTGCTTTTGCCACCATTAATAAAGTTGTATTTTGTATATTTGTAAATGTATATTATACTGTATGTTGATGAAAAAAGTAAAGTTTTTTAATGTTATTTTACAGAGAGCGGCTACAATCCTGGATATTGAGAAGTTCCTGCCTATGTGCTTTGTAACAAAACATAGGTCTGGGAAAAGGGTTAAAGTGGGATTAAAACCTAATAAAGAGCCAGATGAAAGATGGTGCTTTAGGTAAGAATCAAAATAACTAGGAATGCACCGATACCATTTTTTCAAGACCAAATACAAGTACTTGCAGATACCACTTACTAGGGATGTCCCGATGCCACTTTTTCAGGCCCAAGTACAAGTACATCCCCTCATGTACTTGCCGATACCAATTACCGATACTTTTTCATAAAAGGACAGGTGACTTTAAATGATCCATAGTACAACTACATGTTATATCGGAGCAACAGTGACACGACGCTCGGCGAGGTAAGTAAGAAAAAAAAACCCATAGCGCAAGCTTCGGCGCTATGTATCAGGGCATTTTGACAAGTACGAGTACTTGTCAAAATGCCCTGTATCGGTCCCAATTACGATGCTAGCATCGGTATCGGGACATCCCTACCAATTACCGATACTTTTTCTTAAAGGGACATGTGACATTTTTTCTAAAACAATGCAGACTAATAATTGTAGGGAATTTTCTTTATGATTATGAAGAACTTTAGTTCAATACATGATTATTCAGCAATGGAGAATGGCAATCAGCTGTAGAGGACCACAAAGCTCAGCAATCCATGATTATTCAGCAATGGAGAATGGCAATCAGCTGTAGAGGACCACAAAGCTCAGCAATCCATGATTATTCAGCAATGGAAAATGGCAACCAGCAATAGAGGACTACAAATCCCATCAATCCATGATTATACTGCACTGGAGAATGACAACCGACTATAGAGGACCACAGTATAATCATGGATTGTTGGGACTTGTAGTGCTGCGACTCTGCCAGGGTCACTTAGTAGAAGTGCTGCGACTCTGCCAGGGTCACTTAGTAGAAGTGCTGCGACTCTGCCAGGCTCACTCAGGAGAAGTGCTGCGACTCTGCCAGGCTCACTCAGGAGAAGTGCTGCGACTCTGCCAGGGTCACTCAGTAGAAGTGCTTCGACTCTGTTAGGCTCACTCATGAGAAGTGCTGCGACTCTGTTAGGCTCACTCATGAGAAATGCTGCGACTCTGTTAGGCTCCCTCAGGAGAAGTGCTGCAACTCTGCCAGGCTCACTCAGGAGAAGTGCTTTGACTCTGTTAGGCTCACTCAGGAGAAGTGCTGCGACTCTGCCAGGCTCACTCAGGAGAAGTGCTGCGACTCTGCCAGGGTCACTCAGTAGAAGTGCTTCGACTGCCAGGGTCACTCAGTAGAAGTGCTTTGACTCTGTTAGGCTCACTCAGGAGAAGTGCTGCGACTCTGCCAGGCTCACTCAGGAGAAGTGCTGCGACTCTGCCAGGGTCACTCAGTAGAAGTGCTTCGACTGCCAGGGTCACTCAGTAGAAGTGCTTTGACTCTGTTAGGCTCACTCAGGAGAAGTGCTGCGACTCTGCCAGGCTCACTCAGGAGAAGTGCTGCGACTCTGCCAGGGTCACTCAGTAGAAGTGCTGCGACTCTGCCAGGGTCACTCAGTAGAAGTGCTTCGACTCTGCCAGGGTCACTCAGTAGAAGTGCTTCGACTCTGCCAGGGTCACTCAGTAGAAGTGCTTCGACTATGCCAGGGTCACTCAGTAGAAGTGCTTCGACTCTGTTAAGCTCACTCAGGAGAAGTGCTGCGACTCTGTTAAGCTCACTCAGGAGAAGTGCTGCGACTCTGCCCGGGTCACTAAGGAGAAGAGCTGCAACTCTGCCAGGCTCACACAGGAGAAGTGTCTTGGCACTGCCAGGGTCACTCAGGAGAAGTGCTTCGACTCTGCTAGGCTCACTCAGGAGAAGTGCTGCAAGCAGGCTTCAGAAAGACGTATCACCAACGGGGTGCTGCATCTGCGTGGTCACATGCAGCGCTGTCTCTGTGGGGGCACCTGCGGAGTGGCGCTGTCTCTGTGGGGGCACATGTGGTGCAGCGATGTCTCTGTGGGGGCAAATCAGAGCCACTGTGTCTGTGGGGTGTCGGCGCTGTGTTTCTGAACAGCGTGTGGTGTTACAGCAGCGCTCAGTCTGTCTGCAGGCAGGCTTGTGGGAGGCGGTGCTGTGAGGTCCCTAGCAAGCACGGGACCTCAGGGCAGCTCAAAGATATTTAGAAAATGTAAAGCACCAGTGAGCTGCTTGGGCAGAACTAGACAAAGTGTAAGAAATTGCTGGGGGAAATGAAGGAAATGGCAGTGATGGCCAGTGATGAATTTGGTGAATATTGGACAGACTGTTAATGATGGTTGATTATAAGCATCTAGACCCATATGTCCCTGTGTTGCCACAGCATTGCTGATGATTCCAGAAGACTTCTGATGACAGGGACTTGTAGGCAATATGCTGGATCTCATATCGTTTGGCAAGTTAAAATGGTCAAGAAGTGTTCATTTGATTAACTGAGCTTAAATTTGACCAATGTTGAAAGATCAGTCCACATAATACCAGTACTGTAGTTTAACTTAAAGTGGTCTATGGTGGCACAGATTAATCAGTGACATTCTATATAGAGTTTTGTAGACTCCAGCAGTGAGATTTCTATTTGTATCGCTTCCCCCTATAGCCATGGATGTTTTTTTAGAAACATCTCATTCTGGTAGGTTCTAATCAATGTAATCAATGTTCTAATAAGCGAATCGCACTCATAAAAGTTATGGTATGTGGACAAGTTGGAGAATTAAGTCCGTAGGTCACTTCACGAGGGAGACCAAGAAATATAAAAGATTGGTGAATGATTTTAAAACTAAAAAAGGCCTCTGGGCACAGCAAATTCTTCTCTGTCTATGGAATGGTTACCCTTCATAAACACCACACATTTAAACCATCATTAGAACCACAATTGCCCTTTGTTGTTATTAGATCCTCCTTTATATTAAATGCATAGCCCATAAAATGTCGGAATATTATAATACTTATGATCTTCCATTATTACTTTATGTTACTGTTTACATAAAGCAACCATCATCAATATCTTACATGCTATATATGTTCAATATTATCATATCTTATAGTCTACTATCACAAACTTATTTAATAGGGTGGTCCATTGGTATTGTGAAAATTGTAGTAACCCATAACAACCAATTCTAAGTCATCTGAAAATCATTTGCAATGGTAATGAAATCTAATTGGTTGCTATGGAGTATTGCTCTTTGAACATCATTGCTCCTTGCTACAGAATTAGCCCAGTCATCTGTCATTTCCGGTGCCAGCAGCAGACATGACAGGGGCCTTTATCCAAGACCAATATGTCTGTCCCTGCCCAGTGATGTTTCAAACGTCCTCAACAATTAGGCCCCATTCACATGGGGCGATTTGAGATTCCTGTGGCAGAAATTCCAAATCTCCCTTTTAGATGCGGCCTCTGTCACCCATTTAAGTAAATGACCACGTGACAGTGGCTGCATCTGTACGTGGCAGTCCGTATGTGATACAATTACATGCAGTTTGGACTATATCACTGTCGCTGGATGCATCTATCATGCGTCCAGAGACAGTGATCTATTCGAAACTGCATGTAATCATATCAAATGATTAGATGTGTCTGCTGTCACCCTGTCATTAACTTGAATGGGTGACAGTGGTCGCATTTAAATGAGGTAGGAATCCCAAAATGAATAGTGTGAATGTAGCCTTACAATACCTTTCTATTCTTAAAGAAACAGGTATATATTTTTGCTAGTTTTAAACACAATACATTGATATAATATGTTTTGTCAGGGATTCATCTATGAACCATCAGATAAATCATTTATCTTATGTTGCTATATTACAGAGTGGAAGAAATACAGTGGGAATCCACTGGGGAGAATCTGTCCTGCATTAATAAGGAGGAGCCTGGCGACAAGGAAATGGCAGAGAAGCTTCATAAACAACCCAAAGGTAAGAAGAGTGAGAAATCATATTGTAGCGCACCCCTTACGGAGCAGCATACAGTAATAAAGCAATGGGTCTGCCTGTTTTTCCTCTGTGATGCACCTCAATAATAAATACGGAGCACACCAGCACATCTTGAGTTGGCTCGAAAACCTTGATCCTAGGGTCAGTTGCTATGGGTTACAACAACTTAGCAATCTTCTTGTCTAGGGATATTTTCATTCACTTTGCCCATTAGCACTTACCGCCCTCTATGGTGATCAATTAAAGCGATGTCGAGACTGAAGATATGATGCTGAGAACTTTTATTGATGAACTTCAGAGAGAGAGAGGTTTCAGGGTCAGGACCATCCAGGCTGATGTAGTCTCCTTTAAGTGGCAGGGTGTAATAGCTGTCTCATTCAAAGCATGAAGAACACGTGGCACAGAAGCACTTGAGGTAGAAGTCACTAGTCATATTTATCCTTGTTATCAGTAGTAACCACTGGGCCTCGAAACTCAGACCTCAGTGTAAGCACATTGCTAGTCATATCAGACAGTCCATAGCAGCCTCCCCAGAGGCAGGGCCTGGGGGAGGTAGAGAGAGCTCCCATGGTCCACCCCAGCAAGCAATAGACATATGCAAAAATATTTAAAAAAATTAAAAAGTTACCAAAAAGGAAAAAACGTACCTCTGTTTCCGCCGCTCTTTACCAGCTCTTGATCTGAAGCTTCTCCAGTGGCCGTCTAGGAGGATGAGAGCGGGCACATGCACAGTAGAGATCATCGGCAGGGAGAAGAGGAGAGACACAGTGGAGGTGAATGCACGTAGCCAGGAGCGTGCATGTCGGACAGACACAATGGGACCTGAGGAATCGGAGCTCGATCAGAAACCTGCACCAGCGCTGGAGGGATTACTGAAAACAAGTGGAAGGAAGAAGATCAGTAGATGCAACTTACAAATCTCAAACACCAGGATCCTTATATTAAAAAAAGTAACTGTTATTTTTTCAGACCAAAAATATTTGAAAATGAACTCCACATGGTAAAAAAGAGGTGTCTAAAGCTTCCTGAATTGAGCCTTATGTCTTAACAAATTTAGTTCTTGCTTGAAGCTTTTCAATAAATGAGTTAGATAAACACGGCTGAATCAACTGAAATATAAGGACCTAGATAAGCATGTGTAGCCAGCAGTGTTCATTTCAGTGACTAATAATTTTCATTTATTTTCCGTCATCTGCATGTTCTTTAGTGACGAAAACAAAATGAAAACTAAGTAATAGAGAAGTTTCTATTACGAACGAAAACGAGATGAAATTAGGAGGAACTATTGCATTTGGATTTCTGGTTCCCTGAGCTCTTACCCTTCCTGTAGTAAGGAGAGGCGCACAACTGAATAATAACCTACAGATCTACCCAGCGGGACACCACCTAGCAAACACTTGCCACACAAACTGTACAGACATGTCAATGTCAGGGAGAAAGAGAAGAGCAGATGTATGAATGCATTTTACATTTGATGCTAATGAGAACAAGACCCTTTGTAAATTATGTGGAGCAACAATCATAAGTCATAACAGGTTTATAGAGGTTTACGTCAGGAATATATAATGAGTTTGGAAATTCTAGAGATTTGCTTAAATAATGCATTACACTTTAAATAAACTCATTAGATTTTAGTCAACTAAAATCTACTGGAGATTTAATTGACTAAATCTAGAACCAGATGACTAAAATATGACTAAAACTAAAATGGCATTTTAGTCTAAAAGACTAACACTAAAACGAAATTGAAATTTGCCATCAAAATTAACATTGGTAGCCACCTTGCCCTAAACAGGATGACTCCTTAAATTAAGTTCTGCTGGACTGTATCCAGCCAAGCAAATTTGATACTCATTTGGTTGTCCCTAAGCACTATGTAATTGTTTGCACCTGCCTGCTGCTGGATGTGAACTTGCCACAGAGCAGAGCATCGAATAATATAAGGTTATGAATATATGTGTCTCCATAGCTAATCACTAGGCTGTTCATTGGCCAGTGGTACATGCTAGGGGAGGATATTAATATTCAGGGCTGACCTTGTGAGAGTCTCTTTTCCCCACAGGCCTCCAGTCTGGGGAGGGTGCGTGAACTTTGTGCTGTCTGCCCAGGCCTGTAGACTGCAGGTGGTCAGGTATGGACCAGACAGGGTCTCAGTCTGTTTCTGGGATCTAGAACCAGTGAGAAACTTCAACTGCTGGAGGTGCCTGAGAAGCCAGAATGGGCTTGGACCTCAGAGAGAAGTCTGGTGCCTCTCCTAGGGAATTCTATGCTAGATCTGGTAACCAGCAAAGGTTCTACAATTGGAACACAATAGATTATTTTGTCACTATATATATTAAATTTGCATATTCACTCTATGGAAATTCCCTACCCTTTAGGATTGATTAACTTTGTCCATAACTTATTTATATAAATTTTTGATATGCCCGAAGAGGGGATTACACTTTATTCACTTTAATAGCGCTGCACACTCAAAATCTTTTTTATCTTCACAAAACATAGCGCAGCAGCTCTCACATCGCACCCAGTCCAGAAGCGCAGATTTTACATTGTTTCATCAAAGGTTCTACAATACACAGTGTTCCTGCAATCAGTTTAAAGGCCCTCTGCACTGTGAAATGGCAATTGAGTCTTGTGTCTGTACTTCCCTAGATGTCTGTAGCCCTTTCCCCTCGCTCCCATTTTTGTCTTTTATGCAATAAAATATTAGAAAATCCTTAACCACTTGCCGTCCAGAGCAATTTTTTTATATTTGCGCACACATGATAAAATCAGAATTTTGGTGAGAACACAGCTTAAACCCCCAAACAACTATATATTTTCTAAAAGCAGAGGCCCCGTAGAATAAAAAAAGGCTATTTGCAATTTTTTTTATGTCGCACGGTATTTACGCAAATGTTTATCAAACCAGTATTTTTAGAATAAAATACACTAAAATGAAATTTAGTGCACAAAAACAGAATATAATACCCAATTTTTTTGTAAAATATAAAAGACGGGGTCACCTCAGATAAATGGATACCAAACATCTCAAGCCTTAAAATGGTGTGCGCCCGTGAAACCGCAAAAAACTACAATACCCCAAATTTCTCATATGTAATGTTTTAAAACCTTTTACTGCTCTTCAGTTTCGTAATAACAGTGATTGATGGCCCTAGAACTATAGCTCGTTCTCCGACGTTTGCAGCGATATGTAACATATGTAGCACAATTTTCATTTTTGCACATACAGTAGGTGCACCCAAACTGTGTTTGTATGTGAGAGTACATGGGGGTAGGGGACTTTAAAAAAAAAATTAACATTTTTTAAATATTTTTTTATATGTCACTTTTACTTTTTTTTTACACTTAACTTTATTGCTATCGCATGTTTTTTTTTTTTCTGACATCGGGCTGCAGGCGGCCGTAAATCAGAGAAAAAAAAAATTCTGGAAAGCTCTGTTCTTAAAGGTTGAGAACCACTGGCATAAAGGGCTAACAAGCTGGTCTCCCTCTGATCGAAGAGGAGAGACCCGCTGTGATCTTGGTAAAGCCGCTTCAGGAGCCGGATGTATGCAAATAGCCTGAGTAAAGACCAGTATTGATGGGCTTTTGTATGCATCCGAACTGCTTCTCTTCCCATATAAGTTTAAGGGAATGCAAGATCAACCTGAAACAGGTAAAATGTGGTCAGAAGGAGGTCAATTGCGGGACAAATAGTTATGTCAAAGAATTTTGAATGATCTCAGAAGCATTTTAAACTGATAGGTGATGGAGAAAGAGGAACATACACAGCAAGGTTTTCAGGAAGTATACTGTCCTTATACTGATCATGTAAGGTAGCCTGTGTGTCCTGTGGATGTAGTGCAAGCCAAGTAAGATGTCTGATTTTAGCACAGCTCTGTGTTCTGTAAAGCGTTAATAGCTTTATTGTTTCTGTTATTGCCTAGAAATGCACCTTCATTTTTATACTTCCTAGAGATACCACAAGGTCAGTGTATGTGGAAAATTATATTATTAACAGCATATAATTACAAAGCTTTGATCAACTTAATAATTTAGTTCAACATGACATTTAGAAGAGTTAACACCTAATTTCATTACTTTACAGGACAGAGTAAGTCAGCTTCCCGTGCTCGAGAAGAAGCAATAGAAGAGGAGCTAGAGCCACTAAAGTCTGTGCCCACAAGCCCATCAAATGATGAAAAAGTCTGAGACAGGAGGCCAAAGCCTAAGGATAGCCACGACTCCTCACTCAAACTTCTGTTTATCAAATAGACATCTCATTCATACAGGAATATTTCTTCATTGAATTAAAATGTGGACATTAATATAATGCTGAAAAACAATAAGACTACAAAGGTTGTGGTAATAATTGATTGGTTTCTGTCAATGATTGACACATTTTTTCTTTCTGTGACATTTATATGCCAAAACCATTGTCATACTAACATATAAATCCTATATATTAGGGGCTAATAAATAGAAACCTTCTTTAATGTCAAGTATTCACAAAGTCTTTTGGTAAAAAAAAAATTCTACAGGTGATGCAACCAGTGCCGGCCAATGAAAAATTGTATTGTAGTACACAGCTACACATTGGTCTTCCTCACTCTACAATATGAGAAATATTCACAATGGGACAGTGTATACCTGTCTGCTACAATAACATTTTTAATGGAAGCTTACGGTGTGCGACCGGACTTTTTCGTTAGACGGGCTTAGCCAGTGTGCACCCGCTAGTGCTGCTGTGAGTGTGAAGGAACATTGATATTAGGCTATGGAAGTCAGTGCCGGTCAATATATTTATTCATGAGGACAACTGACCACTTTATGTCAGCACTGAAGGAATGTTAAAAGAACCAGCCCCTGACTGAGCTTATGCAAGAATGTTAAAAGAAAGCTAGTGAGGAAATGTGAAGGATGTCACTGCTGGCCTCTCCTTCTGAAAATACCAGTTGCCTGGATGTCATGATGATCAAATAGCTTCAATTACTTGATGCACTGGCTTTAAACAAGTCTGCAGACCATGAGTTCTGACTTTTAAAATTTTTATGCTGGTTTCTGGCAGTGACTAACTCAATTAGGACCTTCAGTTTCACAGTATCTACCTTCATCAACTGTCTGACTTCATGTCTGTGAACGTTCTCATTCATCCAGGTCATGGTATATCTGTTAAAAATACATTAAAGCACCTGGACTTGCAATATTTTCTTGAAGATGTTTCGATGATCAGCCGACTAGCTTTCCTAATTTGGAATGAATTGGAATTCTGAACTGAGAAAGCTAGTCGGCAGACCAGTGAAACGTCTTCAAGAAAAATAAAGCAAGTCCAGTTGTTTTGATTTATTTTTACAGATAAGTGTGGCTTCATCCTAATAACACACAATAGGATTCGATCACTTCGCAGCCAAAGACTCAAAACCTTACCAGCCACTTATGTGAATTTTACTGATTTATAGCAAATAAATGAGTGTTGTCAGCTTAACAAATATTTTATGGGATTTAGGACTTGACTGATGAAAAATGTTGAGCAGGCTTTAAAATGACATATCTCTCTCTATCATTAACTTCATATTTTTAATAATGCAACATACATCAGTTAATTATCTGTCTGATGAATATGGTTTCTATGAATGCTACATTGTCTTACTGCCAATTAATGGGATTCCCACATGTGCCTGTTTTTTTTTATATAACTATATGAGAGTTATATGTAATCTGTCTATTTCTAATCAGTAATCTAATCTCTATCAGTCTGTATTGTACATGATATATTCATAATAAACATTGATGGCAAACCACTGACAGGTTTATTTGATCTAACATACAGTACATTACAACAGCTCAAGAATGGTAATTTCTATTAAAACTATCCTTTATATTAAAGTAAACCTGTTCAAGGAGAACTATGGGGTAAGTGTTTTTCCCCATAGTTCTCCTCAGGGTCACGGGAGAACATAAACTAGCGTCCTCCCGTGACCCAAAGCTCAGTATACCGCGAGCTACAGCTAACGGTATACTGAGACCGCCACAGCCGGGACAGATCCCGACATTACTGTCGAGATCCACCCAGCTGTGTGATTGGCAGCTGGCTCTGCCTATCTAGAGGCAGAGCCACCTGTACACGCCCCCTCCCCTGTTCATTCCTCCAGTCAGTGCTGGAGGATTGGAGCGGAGCGGGGAATCCCTGCAGGGAGCCGTGAGTGACAGTCGCGGTCTCCCTGCAGGGAGCCGTGAATGACAGTCGCGGTTCTCTGCAGGGACAGGATCGAGAAGTGAGTGAGCAACGGTATGTGTTCGGTCACTTCCCGATCTATTGAGCCGGCTCAAACTATGAGGTTGAGTGAAAATCACTCACCTCATAGTTCTCCTTTAAGAGAGAAATATGGGGGCAGTCTTTCTTGACGTCATTTAGACATTTTAATTGCCTGACTGAAATTTTGATGCTTTGGCTGCAATCCTTTATAAGGTTCTGACCCACAAGTGTTCAGAACACTAAACCTGGCCATACACTAGTGGATTTCCGAAAGAAAGGCCTTTCTTTACCATTGAAAGATCTTTCTTTACCACCCGATAATGCCATCAGACACTTGACAAATGTCGAATGAAATTTTGTTTTGTTTTACCACTCTATTTTAGAATGGATGGAGTTTCCCGAGCGAAAACTACATTCACTGTTAGAATTCTGTTAGTTCGAGAAAATGTTTCCATCTTGCTGCTTTGAGTTTTTTCGATACTATGTTTTGACCCGATCAACTAATGGAAAGTCAAGCAAAAGATCTTTCATACAAAAGTTCTTTAGAAAATCTACTAGTGTATGACCAGCTTTAATCAATGTTCTGTATCAGGACAACAGAAACAAGATATGACTACGGAACCCCACCCTTCTAACATAGAAGGGTGTGCTTCTGAGGTCACAAAAAGGAGGAAGAAGCGCGACGACCTAGCGCAGATAAAAGATGGTAGAGCGGAGGGGTGAAGAATGTGTGAGATGATTGTATTCACATGTAATCAGGTGGATCTGAGCTTTGGGAGTTGGGGGTCTCTTTTGAGGTGGTGCGATGCTTGATATGTCGAACTTCAGGTGGGGACTTCCAATACAGTGACGTGGAGATCAACAGTTGGATAAAATATAGGCATGGTGAGTGATCTGATGTGGACTGGTATAAAATGCATAGACTTATCATTGAGAAAATGAGGTTGCACGCTCAGCGGCGATGGTCTATACAGATGATGTGCGGTGTGGAGAGGGACAATCATGGTGAGGTACAATCATCTCACACATTCTTCACCCCTCCGCTCTAACATCTTTTATCTGCACTAGGTCGTCGCGCTTCTTCCTCCTTTTTGTTTCCTCTGTAGTACAAATGTCGGACACCGCGGTCCGCACACACCAGGAGCAGCACATCAGCACTGAAACCAGTCCAACCCCCCCGTAAGAGCGCTCACCAACTGGACCTGTCCTTCACAACGAGATCACCAGAGATAGTTAAGAACAATGTAATTGATAACATTCAGCAGTGGCAGATAACAAAGGAAATTTTCAGCTCACAAGGTTTGTTTTTGAACTTATCAAACAGATATAACAATACCATTTCAGTGGTATATTTAACAGCCCCAAAGGGACTAAATAAGAGAAGACTATTGTAAGGGTTCAGATACACTTTAACACACATTTCTACTTCTCACAATGTAAATCTTCGGGGGGAGGAATGTCTGCTGACCTGCTAAAAATCATGCACTCCCCATACAGCTAATATCTTATTGCAACAATTGTCAAAAGGAGTTTGACTCAGGCTGTCTCATTACAGGGACAGCCCTGCACTGTGGATTCAGCCACCGTCCTCTACATTCTGTAGTGACGTATTGTAGGAGCTGTCAGGAGAACCCTCAGGGGAATTCCCATCGTAAACAATTGTCACCAGGTGTCCTCATTGGATGGTTTACCATCACTTCTTGAGAACTCCAAAATGTTGGATTTCCAATCAATGTAGGACAAATAAAGAGTGAATCCCCTCAATGGAGACACAGCAATAAAAACATGACAAAAGGTTTAACCTTCCCCACTCTATACAAAACTAATCAAAAAATGTTTTGCATCAACATACAGGCATAGGCATTTTTGGTGTAATGGCAAACATTCAACATCAGATATATTATTAGAGTCACATATGCAAAACTGGTAAATGCTCATGGATGCTGAAAACCCCCCAATAAACCCCAACACAGAAGTGTTTATCTTATTTAGTATTTGCAATATGCATGCAAATATAACCCCCCCCCCCCCCCACCCCCCTCCTTGCATTGTCTCTTTAAAATCCCGCCAAAAAAACCCCCCCCCCCCCCCCAGTCCCCCATGGAACAGGTGTATAATGCCTATAGACAGTTAAGTTGCAGTTATTGGAAACCTCAGAGCTTCAGAGTGGTCTGCCACATACAGAGGAAGGAAACAGAGCACATAATATGATAAGAACTTAAGAGAAAAGCCACAGAGTAGAAGACAGCGTAACTATACAGAACATTGACATTGTCTCACTACTGCAAAGCCCTTATTTCCCAAGTCACAAACACTGGGATGAAATCGTCTATCAGTGTCTGTGTATGAGAGAGGGGGAAGTCAGATGATTAGTACAAGTTTAGAAATTTGCTTGAGGAGATCAGAGTTTCAATTTTAGTTTGCTGTAGTTATGTATGTAAATTCGGAGGCCAATGCACGTCTTACTATTTCCACAATAGCATCATCAGACTTTCAGAATAGAACCCAAGAATAAGGGAACTATAGCTGCTGACCTTTGAAGGTGCAGACTCCAGGATAGTCATCTTTATTCTTCTTTCACTACTTGGTGTCAATAAACCTTATATGCGCATATGAACATGCTTGCCCCAGCTAACTGATGTCACTTACCTGGAACTAGCATGTGCATATCAGGTTTCCTGACAGTTATCTAGCTATGTGCTTGTTCTAGGTCAGTGTCTTGCTAAGTAGAATGTGGTTGACAGCTCCAAAAGTCACAACCTCAAAAGTGGAGCAGCAAGGGCAGCACCTATATTTGTATCTTGACAGGTTGCCATTAAACACCAGCCCTTTCAGAGACTGGGAGATTTACTTTCAAATGGCAAGATACACTGACAACAGCTGTCCTTGAATGCCTTGATGCATTTTGTACCAGAGTGCTTAATCATAAGGTCATTATGATTAAGCACTGCGGTGCGCAACATGTTAAGGTTTTCCAGGAGTGCTGATGGTGTATCTTGCAATTTAGTTTCTGGAATTGCTGCATAGATCCAATTTTTTTCCTGTACATTTAGAACGTGTAGCTGGGCGGGGTTGTAGAGTCAGCAGTATGTCAAGGGCAGATAAGGTAAAAGGTTTCTTTTTAAACACTAAATTTAGACAGCTGAATGCATGACTGAGTTACACACATGTGAACTGTCTCACCTACCAAAGGATTTGTAACTCTGTGGAATCAAACCTTTGACCCAGGTGGCCCTACCAGACACCACAGCAAACTCCCTGACTTCTGTGAGACCTCTCTACAGATTACACTGTAGATGAGCAATACAGCCTAGTCTGGGACCAGCTTGGGAGTGGACAATAAAGGAAAATCAGCATTTTGATCTTGACCATAACTCTGGTTTCTTAGCTAATAGTTTGCCATCATATTACAGGAAGATCAACCTAACTCTAAAACTAGTAGACATGTGCACTGCCAAAAAATTTGTTTAGTTTAGTTTCGTTTTAAATTCGGATTTGTGTTATTTCGTTTTTCAGGATTCGGGTGTGAAAGTCAATTCGGATTCGGAATTCGGATTCGGACGAAATTCGGTAGCGTTAGTACGAACGTTCGGTTCGTTTTCTGTTCTTATTCGTTTCTTATTCGTTTCGTTCGTTCGTTTGCAACAAAAGTGACATTTGAGGGGGAAAAAATATTTTTCTCCTTCTCTAATGTCACTTTGCTCCAACGAACGAAACGAATAAGAAACGAATAGGAAACGAATAAGAACAGAAAACGAAACGAACGTTCGAACTACCGCTACCGAATTTCGGAAATGGAAATTCGGATTCGTTTGCATTCGTTATGTCTGTAATTCGGAATTCGGATACATCCGAATGTCCGAATTTCCGAAAATTCGTCCGAATTTCGATTCGGAACGAAATGAATCGCACATGTCTAAAAACTAGAGAAAAGTGATGTGAAGCAGTCAAGGCAGTCAAGTCTTTTAAATATGCGGGTGGGAAGCTAAGTCCATCGTGTTGCACATCAGCCCTTCGAGTTTACGCTTTTCTGGGGCCGGACACCTTTCATCAGAACCTGACAAAAAGGCTCCGGCCACATAAACGCGTAAAGCACGATGCATGATGTACTTAGCTTCCCAGCTGCATATTTAAAAGCCTTGACTGTTCGTCCATCCACAGCTTTCTTGAGATCCTGCGATGACAAGCACTCTTTCTTTGGTTGTTTGTGAGTACATTTTCATTGTTAATACATTCCCAAAAAATCGTTTTACACTATGGAGGCACTCCTTTTGCTTCTCTTTTGCTACATACCCAGTTTCCTGACTGTGAGAAGGTGCCCCGGGTCTCTGGAGTCCTCCTTCTTCGTACCAGGACGGTTTAAAGTCGGCGCTAGTGACTATTTATTTTTCGTGTCATTTTCACTAGATAGAACAGATACATTTAACCCAATTTGTGAATTTATCGATTGGCCCAGAGTACAATTTTCATGGGTAAACGTAATAAACATTCTTGACATTTTCTCCAAACGTTCTCATTACAGAACTTTGCGCACACAACTTTACATAAAGCTTACTTGAACTGAAAATGTGGGATTTTCTATATACCGTATATACTCGAGTATAAGCCGAGATTTTCAGCCCATATGAATTGAAATAGTAATTGTTCATAAGCAGTACCTATACAAGTGCCCTTCCTGTGACTACTCAATCTAGTGCTTCATATTTCAACTGTATATTTGCAGTGTATCTAAGACATTGCTGCTCCTGACTGCTAGTCTCATGATTTTTGGAGTAAGATTTGACACTATGGTGCTGCTCACTGTTCTCCTTGCTTTAGAAAAATCTGTACCTGGGGACCTACAGCGCAAGGACCTCCATGCCCCTGCAAAATTCATTCTTTATATCTATGCTTCTGTCTCCTGTCTCTCCTCTTGCAGATACCCTTCAAATCCAGTCATCAAATCTTACTAGTAATCAGGGAGGCAGCTGTGACAGCTGGAAAAGAAAGCCCTGCACCAAGATGGCTTCCTCTACATGGAATCACAGTTCATAACAAGTCATGGGAAGTCAGTAATGGGGGAACAGTTTAGTGTAGGGTGCCCACAAGAAATTCTGATGATTGCCCCTTTTGCTATTTTCTTTTGGGCAAAACTGTCACAGTTCATGTCCTCTTCAAGCAAGTGATACCTGACTGAATCCCACTTTAAAGGAGGTTCCAAAAGACTGTAAACAGTTCTCAATTGTGACTTATTACAACAAAAATACAGTGATAATAATGTGCTCAAATCACAAAAAACAGTTAAGCTGATTCACTAGGAACCCAGCTGATGAATGGCACTATTATCATCTTCTTCACAGATGTCCTCTCACAGATCACCAAACATTTATCCCAACCTCCACTGCCGGTCCCTTGATAGTCTGTATGTTTTATGTTATGCATACAGTATATTTGCCTAATACCTGAACACTCTTTAGAGAACAACTTTGGTATTTAATTACAAGCATAGGTTTAAAATGCATGACTATGTTGCTATGTAGCTAAGCATACAGGTGTGTTTGTGCTCTCTCTTTAGAAAACGCATAATGTGCTGTGAATTCAATGTCAGCATGGGTGTACTCTGTATGAAATGTTTATTTGTAAAAAAATATTAATATAGATTTTGGTAAACAGATATGAACCAAATCAAAACCAATATGGGTTGCTTTTAACTGGTTGTTACGTTTACTACAAAACTGTATATAATTTACCATAAAAATAATGTTATTGGTAAATGAAAACATTTTGCTTCAAGTTCAAACAATGATTGTATCTATCTATCTATGGACAACATATGTAAATATTATGAAGTATTTAAAAAATATGTAATATACTGTATATAATGTATTGCATCAAACTAACTTGGA